TGTTAATCACGTACTAGCCTCTAATACGCCTCTTCCACGACGCAGACTAGACTGCTTGGCGACGTATATATATATATATATAAATATATCTCTCGAGGAAGTTCTACAGAGTCGTCTAGTAGCTTTGGGGTCCCTTTATACACGAGGTCTGAAGAATTAGGTTGTGAGATAACTCTCGGGATTATTTCTAGAATACCTACCTGTTTCTAGAATCGCATAGTTATACAGATAGGCGGCTTTGCGGGTTCGTCGTGAAAGAGTGATAAGAACTCTTTCCAACTACCAACGCGGGCGCCGTATATTAGGTACCTAAGGTAGGTAGGTAGATATCAAGCCTACCTCTCAAAAAACATACGAAATCTCTACACCGAGATTAGCATGCTGACATGACTGAATACCTAAGATAGACGATAACTCTTTTTTCTCATTTGCTTTGCTTTGCTTAGACCGCAAAACTCGTATACCGACATAGCGCTACGTAAAGGTCTGTCTACCTATCTAGTTCCTCTTAGTAGTAAGTTGGGGGATTAAGCGCGTTATGGAGCTAGACTAGACCCCATCGTGAGATTTCCGTATATATCGCAGCAGAAACCCTCAGCTACTTAATCCTGCTTATTTTGGATGAGGCTAGCTGCTAGCTGCTGACTTTGAGCCTCCTAAGCGCTAGTTATACGTATGTATGTATGACCGAGGCGGTATTATAGGGTTAGGGTTATTGATAGAAGGTGAGCAATGATTATTTGGGTTAGGCGGCTTAAAATATGTTAGAAAGTCAAATACAGCTTCGCGGAGACGACGAGGCTACCCAAAGTATGTGAGCTACCTAACCTAGCTTGTTGTACTACACACCGATTAGAATAATCGGCGATATATAGTCCATAACAATCCAATAGTCTGAGGGGGCGATCAACGCCTACTTACCTCTCTACGCGATCGATAAACGCGATGCAGACCCCTTAGACCACCTCCTCCCCCCCTCGCGCTCAGGTAGGAAGCGGATACCGGCAGCAATGGCCTGCATACTGAAAAAAAGAAAAAAAAAAAACGTGGAAGGCTTGCTCGCTGGCATCCATCTGGCTGTACGTCCGTCTGACATGCATAAGACAGAAGCAAGTAAGGTATAATATGATGCTACCCACTCTGTTACTCTATAAAGGGCCGCAGCCGGTCTAGGCGAGCTGAAGCCACCAACTCTCACCTTCCTATTGCTGCACCACTAATCTTACCTTTGCACCGAGGAAATCTCCTTCGCGCCTATGGGAACCATGCCGATTAATTGATTAAGAAGCTGTAACGGTCGTTAATCTCGTCGCCCAGGCCCGAAAGAAATACATTCCATTTCGAACATGTGATTTTGATGATCTCGATATGTCGATGCGGTTATTATTTCGTCTGTGCGTAATGTATGCGTGAACTACATATCGTAAGAGGGTGTGTAGTAGGTAGCTCGACGCGGCAGGGCTGCTTACCATCAAGGCGCTTACTTTACCCCTGATCTAAACAGTAACCGATCGCGATTGGGCAATAGACGGCTAAATTAGGACATCTCTGTGGCTTTGGCAGCGATAAAATTCCCCGTTTTAGCGCATAATTATGAGGCTTGTGTCTCTTCCAGCTTCGTTTCTTTTAATAGAAATGTAGTGTTGGTTTCTGTTCCTGGTCTAGAAGACTAACTAGATAGTAGGTAGTTAGCTGGTCTGCTAACGATGGCGAGGGGTAAGGATCTTAGCCCAGGGCCGCATAGGATCTTGTACCTACGAGGCAGCTGCACGTAAAGAAATACCCCGGGAATGATCCTTTCTTGATCGTTAGAGAGTTGAAGGATCAAATTGGAAGACTGTGATTAGTCCGAATGGAGCTTAGTACGCCAACAGCACGGCAGCCTGCTTTTGAAACTCTACGGGATGCACAACATGTTCAAACGTACATATCGAGATACGAACGTGAAGTACAGGTAGATTCGAGTCGAGTTGGCGGACGAGTTTTGAGGAATTGGGGGCGCCAAAAGTAAGAAGAAATCGTATTAGTATTCGTCAATTTAGTGGTGCCGCAGCCATGCTGTTGGAGATAACTCGCGGAATGCTTGCTGGTTCGTTCGAGTTGGTGTTAGTGCTACGCCCTGATTGGTAGACCGCTATAGGAATCGAGATGCGTTCCTACGGTACCGGATGTTCAACTGCAAGGGGGTCTTCTTGATCCGACCCCGACCCCCCCCTGTTCCAATGTGTCGTCGCCGCGCCGTTGTTGGGCAGCTCACCTCATTTATAAGTTACCAGTAATCCTTTGGGGGTTGTGAACCATTTTCCGCCCTCATAATGCTTCTGTGGGTAGTAGTTTACGTAGGAAAGCAATCGGTCAACTCCTAGCAAGTCAAGTCAAGTCAAGTCAGTCAATTCGGAACGAGTGACTGCGAGACGCACATACAGATAGTTAAGCTTGCCAGTGTCGTGGCCTGCGATGAATATTTGCCATACCAATAAGGAATCCTATACGTCTCCTTGGCTTCCTTTGAAACCCCAGGCTACTATATTCCCGACCGAATCCCTCATAATGTTTAATCTTTCCTCCTGAAATGTCAAACCGCCCCAATGAAGGGCTTGCTTTCGCCTTTCCCGCTGGTACTCGCGGTATTAGGATGCTTGGGAAGAATCAGCTTGGTTGACGGACATGGCCTCGCTAGACGCATCGTCGATAACCCCGGCCTCGACGGTTTCATCCGACATAGATATCCTTCAGGTCAGCCAAAATGGTATTTCCCAGGAGAGAAAAAAGAGTTTGGTCTAACTTCTGGGTTTAGTCGTACCGTTTGGTGATTACATCTACATAGATGGCGGTCAAATGTTTCAGCCGAACAACGGAAATGGGTCGAATAGCACTCAGTCGGATCCATACACTTCCTACCCCGGTATATCCAATAGCGCTCATGTACGCATAACGCATTTGCTAATAGATGAGCAGTGAGCTCGACTCTTTCCCTCAACTTAAACGAATCATGGACGAACGAAACGGTCGAATTTCGGACGATCCCGAAGGCGGCGCCGCTTCTCGGGCAGCAAGTCTACTGGACCGACCACTCGTATAACCCGGGTGCCTTCTATGTTTGGGGTGGAAAGACGATGGACAACGGATCGCCGCCGGAGGACCAGCTATGGTATTTTAGTGCTGACGGCTCCGGTGGCGGGTCATGGTCACAGCTTCCGCAGGGCAATTACCGCGAGTTCTCACAACTTCTACGTCCGGCCGGCGCATCATTTACGCAGAGCACCAACAAAGGCTATTCATTTGGTGGTTTAGCTAGTCGGGAGTCCGACCACTCGATTCAAAAGGCCGATCCTGGTTACGCTGTGACGGGAGTTGTATCATACGATTTTCAGACCAACCAATGGGCTAATCATAGCTCGGAATCATTCGGGGAGTATGGTACTAGTGTGTACGGTTGTGCCGAATATGTACCATTTGGACCTAATGGATTATTGGTCTTTCTTGGTGGCATCGAGACGACCGTTGACGTAAATAGCGTGTATACCAACGGACTCATTTGGACTATACTCACGCTATATGACCCGGTAACAGGAAAGTGGTATAAACAAAAGGTAACAGGAGACCCACCACCACGGATCGAACGAGCTTGTAGTGTTGGCGTTCGGGGGCCTAACAACACGTTTGAAATGTAGGTCTATCCTTAGCAGTCCGTTAAGAGATTATATAAGGAAAGAAAATAAACTAATATTAGTTGGCCGGATTTAGATTCATTTATGGCGGCTCACTGGTCACCTCCAGAAGTACTCTTCCTGATGTCTACGTACTATCTCTGCCTGGATTCCATTTCTTCAAATCGAATTCTACCGGTACGCCGCGTGCTGACCATGGTTGCGCGGTCATCGGCAAGGGCGGGAGACAGATGCTTAGTTATGGAGGCGTCGACGCTGGCCCCGAGCTTGAATTTTACAACATGACGAGCGATCCTTGGAAACAGGGTCTTGGTGTTTACGACATGACTGAGATGACATGGTCGAATTCGTACGATGTAGATGCTGCAGATTATGAGAGTCCCACCGCGGTGAGGGATTGGTATGCCCAAGGGAATATGAAGACTATGACCTGGGATAACGACGAGCTTAAAGGGCTATTTATTAACGGTAGTTCAGGCACATATGGTATGATGAACAACTCCGCTACAACAGAAGATTTGCCGAAAGACTCTCTGAGCTCGGCCCAAAGGACTGGTGTTATTGTCGGTAGCACAGTAGGAGGAGTAGTGGTGTTTACGGCCATCGGCGCCGCCATATTTTTAAAGCGGCGAAGAAGACGTCGTCGACAAAGCAGCAGGGCCAGCAGCACGATAAATGAGTACAGACCGGAGCCGTGGCCGAAAGATTCGCCGCGGTTGCGGTCGACTACGCCGGGGACGATGACGACGTTTGTATCTTCGCAAACCCCGGTAGAACCAGTAGAGATAAGTGGTATAACGAGAGGGGAATTACCCGCAGAGGATGTGAAATGGACATACGAGCTTCCGGTTCCCACACCACACGCCACACCACGGCTAAAGCCAGAGCTTCCAGATAGGAAGTTTTCACATTAATATCATTTTGTAAAGAGAATAAATAAATAAAATATAATGACTGATGCCTAATATGATCAGCTTAGACGGCTAACTTGTTGAATTATGAGGCGAAGCGTACCGAGACGAATCGGTCGTACTTCTGGGTTTCTCCTTATAACCTAAGCTCGGCCGGAATCCTCATTTATTTTCCACACGAATTAAATTCGTCGTCTTGGGGTTTCCTCGTAGCATGAATGCAGTAAGCGTAGTGAATATAGCTACGACTACCTCAAGATGTCTTTAACCTTGTTGCATATAGTGGTGTACAGCTTAATTTCAAGTGTGCTTTGAGGTTATTAATTGCAGTAGGTAGGTAGGTAAGATAGTCGAATAATTAGTTCATTTGATCGGTTGCCCGTAAGTAGCAACGATGTTGCTACCGAAATGAGCCCTCTCACTTCGCACCTCCGACCATTTTCTTCACTTTCTCGAGTAGTAACCCGCTCTCGCGACCTAGTTTTCGCTGGCCATCTCGGCCTGGCGTCCGTGCCTTCGCCATGGCTTTCCTAAACTTTTCGCGCTCTGCGATCTTATTCTCACGCTCCGCATTCTGTCTCGCAATCTCCTGGGCACGCGCTTCAGCCTCCGCCTTTTTGCGGTCCCCGTCAGCTACCGCTTTGTCGAAGTAGCCGGGTTTGCGGACTTTCTGTTTCCGCTGGCGTGGGGGGCGGTCTCCTGGCGGAGGCGGAGAGGAAAGGTCTGCTTGCTCCTCGTCTACGTCTAGCATAGCCTGCCTCTCGGGATGGAGTTGAGGTGATGGTGGCTCTGGCTCTGTCTCTACGTCTACATCTGCATTTGCGTTTGCATCCTCAGTGGCGAGAGTAGTGTTAGGTTTAGAAGATGCTTGCTCTGCAGCTTTTATCTTCTTATATGCCTTTTTGACCTTTGCTTTATGAATGAGATCCTTCTTTATTTTATCAACTTGATACAAATTTGAATTAGCATTACAGCAATTTAACGAGAGTCTCATAGTATCAAACCTTTTCTCCTCCAAGGACCATCAGGTAAGTTTTCCGGGCCTACTCGGAAGCCTTTGCGAAGCTTTTTTGCTGCCGGTGTGGCCACAGTATCCGATTCAAGAGGTCTCTTAGGTGCCATGATTGATGAACAACAAGTTATCAATTATTAATGGATTTCCTGTTTAACAAGTTTCACATGAAGGACAAGTTGAGATAAAACGTCGATAATATTTAGTGGGGACTGAGCGCTGAAAAAAAGGCCTTTCTGCATGCGCTATTCGAGTGGACGTAGTAAGGGTTTGCGCTAGTATTAGATGGGAGTTACCGGTAAGCTAACTCGTGGCACGAGCCTTATTACCGGTCAGCCCCTGCCGAATACCGCCTCATTCTGGCTTAATTTTATCCCAAACTGGCTACGCTCTTTCCTCAATAGGCGCGAAACGGAATAAAATGGGACCACTAATTATGACGCTGAACTTAGTAACACCTCACCTGTAGTCATAATTTGATAGGTGAGGAAGGTCCGGATGATCAAGCAATCCTGCATTACCTTCCTACCTTCCTACCTCAATCTCGTACACCTGTCTCATGATAATAGGACCTTCTCACTTTTCAACTATTCAATTCTTAACTCTCAACTCTCAACTGAAAATCGTACACGTAGTTATTTCCTAGTCCGAACAGGGCAATAATTACACAACCCTTTGTCAAACAAGACGGTCCCTTTATATCTCGTTCCGTTCCGCTTCGGCCAATCTTGTTAAATGAGTCAATGGAACGAAGACAACGAGTCAGTTACTAGTAGCAATTCATTTCTTAGCGACATATAAGAAACTATTTTAATGGCATTTAAAGATGTTCGAATGCTTATAACGTAACATCATATTTCAAGTTCTAGGTCGACAACTGGATAAACGATGCCCGTTTTCCAAGTAGACCTAGAGCGGAGGGAGTCTGTTGAGCAGTCACTAGCGCCCGCCATGGCACCACCAGCAGATCAATTCCACAATAGCAGCGCTTTAAGGAGGAAGCAATCGGAGGAGAGTATCAGTACCGAGTTATGCGAGGGTCCGATCCCAGATAGTCCAACACCTCAAACACCAGAGCGAAATTCACCGACCGAGTGTTCCGATAGATCGGAACTGATCGAGCGATTAAAGAGAGGCGAGAGCCCAACTTGGAAGCCAAGTCGACATGTTGGTAGTCATATTTCACCTAATACCTTCCAATCTACTAACTTAGCTGGGAACCAGTTCGGATCGATATGGGGTCAACAGCCAGCATCTCCTACTCGAAGTCCAAAACACTCGGCGGCAGATTCACCGATTCTACTACCTTCAGCTACAATAACCCCGGAGAGGCAAAGCGCCGGCTTGAATGACGAGACAAGACAACGAGAGGGACTAAGTATCGAGCGTCCTCGTTCAGCTCTTCATAGTGGTGACTTTACACACGACGAATCTTCTGAGGACGCTAGTGTCATACCAGATCACCAACAAACTCAAAAGGGGCAAGATTTTGAAGGTATTAGTGAGTCATGGTTAACTACTCCGCCTCTAAAACTTGTTACTCGCTTCCCCCTCGAAAGCCAGCAGATCTCGGCGAGGAGACCAGATGAGACACACCCAAGTTTTTCTCCTTTATCTTCTTCTATTTCTTCAAGCTTCATCTATAAGCCACCTACTAGCCCTTTAGTCCAGTCAGAAAGTAATGACGATATTGATCTGACATCCCCTATGGATGGCATTGATATCAGTTCAACCCTCTCTGTAAATTCGCGCCGGCATACATTCATGTCATCTTATTCAAATCCATACGCTATCCCCTATAGCCCATCACCAAGACAGCCGCCTCTACGCCAAGAGAGAACGTTTCCTTACCAAGCACATCAACCACGGCGATCTCTCGCTTCAACTCCTAATTTCCCCACGGCTGCATCTTCACCGCAGACCCCTGCTTTCTTCCGGTCAAGACGCCCGTCATTTAGCTCAGAAATATCACCCATCCAACATGCTTCTATGGTAGGGTCTTATGAAGAAAGTATCTTACGCGGACGAATGTCTACAACCCCTTCAAAGCCTCTCGATTTCTTAGCCCAGATTGGCGTGCTCGGGTTGGGTAAGTGCAAGCCAAGCTTACGATGTCCGTCCCATGTGACATTGCCTTTCCCTGCCGTGTTCTATAGCTATGCCAACTCTTCTCACGGGCGCTCTAAAGTTGAAGATGGGCCGAGTCCGTATGTTGGCCAGATTGACTTGGAGAATGGTCTTCCGAATCAAGAAGAGGAGGCGAGGTCAAAGCGAAAGCTGCAAAGCCGGGTTTTAGACCGAAAGATGGAAGACGATAAGACGGAAGTGAGCAACCGTCCCGCAGAGCCGTCGGAGCGTGACCCGCGCAGAGCTCAGCGATCCAAACGTAGGTCCAGTTCTCCCAGGGCGCCACCGGGTGGTAGCTATCGTATTCCCGAGAAGGGGCAAGTTCAGATTGTGATCAAAAACCCAAATAAAACCGCTGTCAAACTATTTCTTGTTCCGTACGACCTAGCGGGGATGGAGCCTGGTACAAAGACTTTTATTCGGCAGCGAAGCTATTCGGCTGGTCCGATCATTGACAATATGCCTAAAACGAAAGATAGCGAGACCACAGACAGGCCAATTCTTAGGTATCTCGTTCATCTGCATATATGTTGTCCTTCGAAAGGTCGGTATTATTTGTACAAAAGTATTAGAGTTGTATTCGCAAACCGCGTGCCTGATGGGAAAGAGAAACTTCGAAATGAGATTTCTGTACCGGAGCCCAAATTCACTAGCTACAAACCGATCAGAGTTATGCACCCTCCTATCTCAGGAGGTTCTGGTCCCGGTGCCAGCCTGGCTGCTGATAAGGCGTTTAGACGACGTAGCTCTGGATTCCACTTCGGCGTTCCCGGCCAAGTGTATGATGCGGCTGGCGGGTTCCCCCAGAGTCACACGCCGCATCAAACCTTTGTATCAGATTTTGCAGGTCATAACGCGCCAGTTGAACCGGTACCTCTTAGGCATAGTGGAATAAGGAGCATAGTGGATGAAGCCAGCAACGCAGGTCCTGCTGACCCCTTGTCACCAGATTCATCCCAGACCAGCCGGCCAACTACGCAGTACTCGAGCGATGTATCGAGTTGGGGTGGGCCAGACGCCCAAATTGACAAATACAACAAACTTAATAAGGGTGATGTAGGCTATGGGGGTAATGCATTTGCCCACCTGATTAACGGCAACACTGGTGTTGCCGAGGGCCTACTATCTCAGCGATTGCGATCTCTAGGCGTTGATGGCCAGATAGACCAGGAGTCTGGGACAATAGAGGAATAGGTTTTTGATTTAATTCATCATTGTACTCCGGCGTTGGGATCTGACTATTAGGATATCTTTCATCGGCTTTTGGAAGGGTTAGCAAGGTCATATTAGGAGTACTTCGGCGCTATATGGTGCATGTTACTGACACGGAGGTTTTTATCGGTCACAGTGTAACAGTCTATCGCCTCATAGCCTTGGTTGGTCTCAGGTCGGCCTAATTTTAGATTAAAATACTCTCTGAAGCCTATTTCGCGATTGTTGCATCCCTATTAATTCTATGATCCTTCTTGGATAATCGTTTAGTTACTTCGACGGAGTCTAGTAAATATGTAGCTCGCTTATAAAATAGAATATGTAGAAATTAGAATAACTGGGTGATATTAGATAAGTTTCAAATAGAATAGATTTTAACTCCACAAAGAAGCTGTAGTATCTACCTGTTAGTATTTCAGAAAGTGCCTAAGTTACACTAGCATGATCACAATATGAAGCTTTACTTTAGGAATCGTTCATATGCGGCTCTGTTAGACCCATCGCGTTCTCCTTTTGGCTACTACTATCTACTTTTACTATTCCACCTTTTCAATAGGGATGTCCAGCCCCTAAGATTCGCTCCCCGGCTCCTAGCTTGAACTACAGTACTTAATATATGTAATATGCACGTCTTCACTCATCGTGTATTAGCGCAAGAAATAGGACGGATATGTTTCGTTTAGGAACTAATAAAACGAATCTCCTTTATTCCACTCCATCAGAAACCCCGAACCTGCCGTCGCAGCTACAGACCTACGTGCCGTGCCGTGCCGTGCCATGCCGCCCGCTCTACCCCGTAGCAGTCCTCTCAACCCCCGGTCCCGGGCCCGAGCTTCCAGCAGCCGAAGACACGGACCCCTGGCCCGGCGCTCTGCGCGGCCTCTTAAAACACGCGAACTGGGCACGGCTCTGCTCCCTGAGCTTCTTCAGGACCTCTCTCATGCCGGGGAGCTCGTCCTGGAGACGGGCGCGGGCCTGGTTGTCCGTCTTGGAGTCGAGCATCGAGTAGACCTCGCCCTGGATGGCGGAGGCGCGCTCCGTCGTGTACTGGCTGAGGGTCTGGGCGAAGAACTCGACGTCGAGCGTGGCCTGCATGAGCGCGCCCAGGTCGAATCTCGGGCGCGCCTTGAGGGATTCTAGAAGCTCGCGGCTGAGCTGCTCGAGGAGGTACGAGAGGACTTGGTGCGTCATGCTGGGTGCTGTGGTGGAGACTTGCGTGTGGACTAGGACTAGGGTGAGCAGGGCTTCGTAGACGTATGGTTTGACTTCTGTGGGCTTGGGAGGAGCCCAGTTGGGATCGGAGAGCCCGGCGCGGATGATCTTGCGTAGGCTATCGAGTGATGGTCGGGTATAGGATTGGAATAAGCGGGCGTCGATCTGGCCGAGGACATCCTTAATAGTCTTGGATTCGTCTGTGAGTTTGACGGAGAAGGCGTTTTCAAATTGGCCGTTTAGATTGGGCACTACTTTAGTCCGCAGAGCGTGAAGGTTACCGAGTGTTAATAGCATACGGACATTCTATATTCTAATGTTAGTCTTAATCTTAGTACACTTCTAAAGGAACTCACTCTATCGCCTGGGTCGACAGTCTCCGAACCGAGACTCAAGGACACCCTCTCACTACCGGGCCTCACGGTTAGATCCGTATCGGTAGTCCATTCATCATCCGCCTTCTTGATCGCGCGCTCCGCATTTTCAACCATTCCGCTAAGCGCTTTATAGAGCGTCGTAACATACTGACTTCTCACCATCTGCAACAGCTTCGTCGTCGGCGCAGAGACAATATCCCCCGAGCCCGGCTTAGACATCGCCTCCGGGATATAGAGAATCTTCTGCATTCCGGAGAGCAACGCGCCTTCAAAAGAGGCGAAGCTCGTTGGCATGCGTGTGACATCTCCCATCTCCTTGGAACGTTTCCAGTCCTCAACATACTTAATGTTCTCGGCGTCTTTGTTCCAAGCAGCGCATAGGGCAGTGACACATCTCTCGCGCGCAGCACCAACTAAAGTCTTCAACATTTCTAACTGCTTCGCGTCGCCTTGCTTAACAGGGGCTACGCTCGCCATCTCCGACGCCCCGGAACCGACCAGATTGAGCATCCTGGATAGGTAGTGAACGCCGCTAACTGAATTAGACGTGGGAGGCCAGAAGGCAAACTTTTCCCATGTCTCACCCCTTTTGGGAGATGGTGGAGGAAGGTTGTTCGCATCGAAGTTGAAACGAGGGTCTCTCGTACTACTTAACCCTGCCGACTTAGGCGTCCCAGGCGAAGGCGGTAGGGGGGAGAAGAGAAGTGAGATATCTTCAGGCGGAGCACCTGCAAAGAACTCAAAGACATGCGCGCGGATCATATCAACCAACTCGATAGTGCCTTTCTGCAGATCCACGGTCCCCTGCTGAGAAAGCCTATGATGGTCTCGAGACTCGCCGTTATATCCCGTAGGTAACGATTTTTGTGCTTTTCCGTCGATAAATCCTTCGACTGTTTGCCAGAACTCGATAACCTCTCCTAAGATACCTTGACCAGACAAGAGGGTCGATAAAAAGGCTAGCATCTTATCCCATAATTCGATAACGTCAGGGGAATCCAAACCAGTGGCTTTGTTCTCAACTGATTGTCGACCAAGATTCTTAAGGTGCGTAGCCATCATCTGCGGCGGTGGCTTCTCACCATTTGCGAGACGACGTCGGAGCACCTCTATCTCAACTTTCGCCCTTTCACCAGCCGTCGAAATTTTGCCCTTTAGGTAGTCATACTTGCTCAAAAGCCATACCCATATTGGGTTATCGTCCACGCCAAGCTCTAGTAATAAGCTGATTAATTCTATATGCTGATCTTGTGGTTGCCCAACTAGGGTCTCTGTCCTCGATATGTTATGAAGCGATGTAAGCTTCCTCCATAGTTCGCGTTTGAAAAGTTGAATTTGCTCGTCAACATCGTACCACATTCGAGCTGCGAGAAGAATTTGGTACGCTTGAGTCTCGCTTGGGGGTGTTGAACCGAGGTCTTGGACAAGTCTACGCGCCTCATCCGCAAATCTCCGGGCACGAGTGTATTCTTCCACTAGGGCCTCGTAGTCTTTCCTCTTAATGCTATCCGCAATATTAGAACTAGCCTCGATGTACTCCTTGTATCGATCTAGCGAACTCGATACGGTCTTGAGATTCTCCTCTTTCTCTCGACCGCCAAGCGCGGGCCCCCAAACATCTTCAGCCTTAGCTGCCACATCTAATAAAGGCGTCTTGATACCCATGACTCCATAATCGCTCTCTTTAATAAGTGCATTCTTCTTCCTAGTATCATTGGGAACAGGAGTTACTAGTGGATTTGTTCCCAGGGCTGCACCGCCACTACTATTCCTGAAACTACTTTTACTAGCATGTCGCGAGTGTCCGCGAGCGCGGTTCAGGGATGGAGGCTCAACACCTCTGTATTTCATTTCCTTATAGACATTGTCAATCGTAGCTTTAGCCCGTACGAATCTCTCAAAATTTGACTCGACTAGAACTTTCAAGGACGCGGATTTCTGGTCAATGGATTTGGATAGAACATCGAGGCCGTTCAAGAGGGACTCGGTATCGGCGGTCGCATGCATTTGAGATAAGAATAAGGCAGGGGAGAAACTCGTAGAGGATAAGAGAAAGCGATTTCCTATGAAAATATGGGTAAGTTTGGCTGTCTTGCTGCTTTAGATAGGTCATCTAGTTTCCATTAAACGTACGTAGACGGACATCATCCTGGACCGGCACTCCCAATTGCTTCAATGACCTAACAACGCTTTCTGATGTCCCTAACGGATCAGGCTCGTCCTTCTGAACTAAGTTGCTTACTCCATTTGCCGACTTCTCGGATCCTTGGACGATACTAGTCCTATTGCTGACAGCTCGTTCTAATGCCTGATATCGCGACTTTCTGCGGTTTATCTTCTGCTTCTTCTGCTGTTCCTGTTCGCTGTCCGAATTATCGCTTTTATCCTTCTCGGCTGGCCATTCTGTGGGAAATGGTGTAGATAGCTGGTAAAACTCCAGTACGTTCCTATCGAATTCGGCCATGATTTATCGCTGCTACTCCCAATATCGAATATCGATGCCTTCCACCGGTTGTATATGGCCTCTCGCCGTTTCCTATGGCTTTCCCATCCGTCGAGATTTTTATGGTACTAATATCGCCGTATACTTCTACTCGGTAGCTTTATACGAACTCTTAGAGCATTCCGAATTATTAGTGATTATTTATTGACGTACCAAATGAAGGTGTTTAGGTATTGTATTGATGCTAGGTAATAAAGCGAAGTGAGGTACTCCCATTAGTGTTACAGCCATGCATTAACCTAAGACAAAACAAGGATAGATCCTGCATGCTATTAGATAATGGCACGTGCATAATATCAAGAATGTAAGCCACAATGTGGGTAGGCGGGGAGCAGCTGAAAGTGGCTTTGCCCCTGTTTGCTCATTGATTAATATGAATGTTACGTAGCTTGTCTAGCTTGTTTAGCTTGTCGGCAAATCTCTGGTTGAAAATTCGTTCGGCTCAAGCTAAAGGTCCACGGGGGTTGTTGTTATCAGATCTTTCAGATGCAACAGCCGTCCGTCCGATACCACCCGAGCCTCAAAAGCGCCTTTTGAGAATCCAATTTCATAAACCTATTTCTTCCCCCCCCCCTTGCGCCGGTATTTTAATTCTACCTTCAGGAGCCTACGATAAATATATATTTGCTCCCTTAATATTATATAATGCTGAGCATTCGAGCGGTCGCCGCACCCTTGCGGCGCCAATGCCTAGCCACTGCTCCTCGAGCCTCCGCAACTTTATCTTTCCAGGTGGGCGCTGACTGAGAGAGCACGAGCTTGGATAACACGGTCGCTAACTACTCGGTCAATTGCAGAACCAAAGATTCTACTCGGACAAAGTCGCTAAGTTTACCGGTGTAAAGGCTTCTGATGTATGTGTTCAAGCGCATTTTGCGACATCTCCCATGTGAAATTCTGCCGAGGAAAATCACTCAAAATTAGTACCAACTTGGCGATGCAATTTGCCTAGGAAAAGCTACTAATTGTTTTAATTATAGGGTCGCTACCCTGTTAGTATTATCGAGGGTGATGGTATTGGACCTGAGATTTCGCAAGCCGTCAAAGACATTTTCGAGGCTGCCAAGGTTGGTGGACAAGTTTCACCTCGGCTCGAGATTCTTAATTCTAAAATTTCTTAGACACCTATCAGCTGGGAACCTGTCGACGTCACACCTAAGCTTGTAGACGGAAAGACTACTATCCCTTCCGAGACAATTGAGAGCATCCAAAGAAACAAGGTTGCCCTTAAGGGTCCTCTTGCTGTAAGTCTATGATCGGACATTTCTATATCCCCGCGCGCACTGCTAATCGACTTTACAAGACTCCCGTCGGCAAGGGACACGTCTCGCTTAACTTAACTCTCCGACGAACATTCAACCTCTTCGCTAACTTGCGACCCTGCCGATCCATCGCCGGCTTCAAGACTGCGTACGACAATGTCGATACCGTCCTGATCCGAGAAAACACCGAGGGTGAATACTCCGGCATTGAGCATGTTGTTGTCGATGGCGTCGTCCAGAGCATCAAGCTCATTACCCGCGAAGCCAGCGAGCGCGTCCTACGATTTGCTTTCCAACACGCCGAGGAAATCGGCCGAAAGAAGGTCCGCGTCGTACACAAGGCCACCATCATGAAGATGTCCGATGGTCTTTTCCTTAAGACTGCTCGCGACGTTGCCAAGGACTTCCCCAGCATCGAGTTCGACGCTGAGCTACTAGACAATACCTGCTTGAAGATGGTTACCGACCCTCTCCCGTACAACGACAAGGTTCTCGTCATGCCCAACTTGTACGGTGATATTCTGTCCGATATGTGCGCCGGTCTGATTGGTGGTCTGGGTCTTACGCCCTCGGGTAACATCGGTGACGAGTGCTCCATCTTCGAGGCCGTGCACGGATCTGCTCCGGATATCGCTGGTATGGGTCTAGCCAACCCCACCGCCCTGCTTCTCAGCTCCATGATGATGTTGAGACATATGGGCTTGACCGACTATGCGAACAGAATTGAAAAGGCTACATTCGATACCCTGGCGGAAGGAAAGTCGCTGACTGGCGATTTGGGCGGAAAGGCGAAGACTCACGAGTATGCGGCGGCTATCATTTCCAAGTTGTAGATACCTCATCATGGTCTATCATCCATCCATAGTGGCGTCTGTTAGAGGGAGATATGCGGTTGCTCTGTAGAGTGTACAACAATGGGAACGATTTTGCATGATTCAAGTCGAGTCCGGTCCGAAATCCGGTTAAGCAGGATGAGTATTGTGATGAACCAGGCCGTTGAACTACTCTTTCCTAATTATTCCAGTCTCGTGATTTAGATGGAGAGGGTTATAAGAATATCATCTATCTAAAAAATAATTCACTTCCGGGGCCATATTATCGTGCTAAAAAGACACCATGACATCCAAAAGTAGTACTATCCGCAACCACGTCGCTTTCAGCTGTAGATCATATCACAAGAAGCTTAGGGTTGACTTAACGTTGAAGCCAAGCATTGCTACTAGTAAGGCTGAAGAGGAATCTTAGATCAGCTTCGTGCCAAGGTGCCTCTCCCGTTATAATTTTAGGAATACCAATCAAAAAGACTCAACGTAATAACACGAGTCAGCACCACCGTCTATCTAACTCATATGAAAACTTAAAAAGAACGTTCATCTGTCTTTGCATACATATGGCTTGTATAAATGATGGGATTCGTTCTTCGCTTATGCGGTGCAAATCCATAAGCTGATGTGCATTCAGCTACTCGTACCAAGATGCCACATGATTATGAGTACACCAAAAGTCCTGAATCCTATTATGCATGATCCTGAGGTATTTTCTAGAGAAATACTAGCCGGCGTCGGATATTGCTTCGGAAGACTACCTAGTTTAAAGAAAGGAGGGCGAGTTGAAGGGCTAGAAGCCGAATACTGGAGCGAATTATAGATATGTACTGGAAGTATATATTACACTAGATAGCTCGATCAGATGGCCGACATTCGATCTAGGGAGATAAGTTGCGATCTGTAGTATGCCAAAGTCGATGAACGGAGTTTTGTTTCTGTTGATTCCACTCAACTGTCGAATATCATGTATCACAACTTGGTTAGTTTGCCTCTGATATGATAGTATATTTATATATTGCAGGCTGTCGTATCGCAGATATCTACCAGATGAGGCAATGGGTCCATCTACATGCCATAATTTAAGTTATCAGGACACAATTGGCGCCAGGACCCTGAATATTGAAGCCAAGGACATGCACGAGAAAATACTCTACATGATAGTCGTATACCACGGACAACACCATGGTAATAACGGCCAACGATAATCTCCCTATCTCCCTACCCACCATCGGATATGTAGCCGGGTTTCGGGCATCAAGCCGAGAAAATAGTCCCCCACGCTGAATAGCTTCCCGCCAGTCCCCGGACAAATTCACACGCGAGACAAGATAACCAACATGGACTGATTATCCCTCAACATATCACCACTCCGCGTCAGATATGTACGTCAGCCCAACGACCCTGAAGATGGGACAGTTCCAATTGACCTGTAGCAACCCAAACAAAAGCAATCGTTCAGCCGGCTCAATGGAAGCATTAGTCGTGCAACGCCTTCTCTCAGCTGCTGCTTGTATGCGGTTAAGAACAGCACCCGCCGATACGATACGAATAGCTGGTAATACAACCTATCGATCGGGCTAGTAAAACTTACAGCCGCTTGCGTTCTTAGGTTACGCTCACGAGAAAGGGGCGTAGGCGTAGGCGTAGGCGTAGGCTTCCTTTGGAGACTCGTAGGATTGCTTACGATCGAGGATTGCTACACAACTTGCAAGTCCCCAGGATATGGTCAGATTGCTATTTCTGGGGAAATGCCTCAGTCGTAGGGCAGGGACATGGGTATCAGGGATGTTTCTCGGGACAGAGTGTGGGGGGGTGACTTAAGGAAGCCTACATACACTAGTGATTGAAGCTAAAGAATACATCTTGTTGTAGAAGTGGAAACAGTATTAACACATACTGTTAGGTATCCATCTCGTGTTGACCTAGTTAATAAGGTATAGACATTTGACGATGAGATCGAGTCGGTAACTACCTGTGTATGTACGGCCCTGAACGTCGGTCTGAGCTGTGATACTCGGATGATCAATCTACGTTGTTTAGCCTCGCCCGACTTCTTAATTAGACGTCACCATAATAAGGCTGGGGAAAACGTAAGCTCTAAGAGATAATCCGAGACAAACTAGGCGACGGGCAACAGGGCAACAGGAAGCTTCACCGAGTCTGTTCCACTCTATGTACATATCCAATTTTCCAGCCAGCCCGTAAAAGGAGTTTCATTGATAGGTGCTTATTGGCCTGCATGTACAAAAGTATTCAATAAGCTACTTCAATACACACAAATTTCGAGTAATCCGTTTCGCGGTCAGGGAAAGGCTACGGTGATAGCGCGGGAATAAGATCTTACTAAAATACTTAGGTACCTGACTAGTCCCGGTAAGGTTAGAAGACGGTTCGTTTGGAAATTAGTCAACCAATCACGGCGTCTCGGCTGAACCGTTTGGGGAAATCGATGGCAGGGTTTGCGTGGCACCGGGAAACCAAGACTTTACAAGATCGTCCCAGCCGCAAGCAGGGTGCAGTATGTACACTTCGAGAGTTGGCCGACGCCATACATAGGTATGTATACATATTCCCACTGTATGTATGTATGTACATAGAGAAAGATCGACCTCTTCTAGAAGGGCTTCCAAGCATTCCAAGCATTAGAGTACTATATAGATAGATATGTAAAGTTTCTAAAGGTGGGAGACATTAAAGCTTTCTTGTGCCTGCCAAGCTTTCTTCGCAAGGCAGCTATCGGCATGTTCTATCTAAGAGATCGAAAAGTACCTAAAGATCAGAACTACCCTTTTACTTTGTGTGAACCTTTTCTACATAATTGAGAGTTGGATTTGACGTGAACCTTTAGTGTATGATCGGCATAGGATCGTTGAACCGTATCGCAAACCAGTTATGTAGCAAACTAGACCGATATTCCTGTAACTAGTACCTAACATATCATACATACATACATCCATAGTAGTAGGCTCGAGTCCTCTCTCACATGCTATTAACAGACTAGTAAACAAAAGAGGCTTTTTCCGCTTCGTCCAAAGAGAAAGCTAGTAATTGTGATAATCCCACGCGACTTACGGATTATGGCGGTCCATGCAGATACCGCTTATTTGAGGGGTGGGCATATCTCGACATGTTCTAATTTCCAAAAAGCTCAAGTCGCCCAATGTATGTACGTACAGGTTACATCATGCATAACCTTCACATATGTCGCGTGACACTTCTGGCAACGCTCATCTTTTCCCATGATGAGATATCATTTACATTAGAGGTAATGTATGTATATGTATATGTATGCACCATATGGGGTGTGGGCGGTAGGCGGTAGGCGGTCTGGGTAGTGTAACTATTCCCAGAGCCGACAAATGACAAATGACGATCATGAATATCCTTGATCATTTAGTTACAAGGATATTTCATGATGACTTTTAGAGCTTCCTTATTCTCGCACCCCCTCCCCTAGAAAACTTAACACGTAGTGCCGCCGGTGCGCCGCAACAAGTGGGCTGCGTCTTGGAACAAAATCACTCACCGGCGCCGTTTAGTATCATAACTATTATTACTGGAGACTAATCAACTTCCGGCCTTGCAGCTTAAGGGGTCCCAACTATTCCGTACCTAGGTAGCTAAGCACGTATCTAGCAGTTGAGAACAAAACCGGCATTTCCGGTCGTTTCGTGAATAGTATATATAGCCTCCTCGTCGTCTCCTTCACAACCTCTGTCTTCTTCTTACCTCGAGTGTTTTCCATCAACAACTTCCTTAAGACCAATCTCCACTCTAAAGCACCCTCTTTCTTCACTCTTGACCAGTTCTTCCAAGACTTAGTCCGCCAACGACTACTACTTCCAACACATTCACTTATACAAACCTTAAACTTAATAACTCACAAATCTCATCCGTCGCCATGCCTTCCGTAGACATCAAGCAGATCGTCGACACCAAGCCTCTGAGCTTCACCATCAAGACCGGAAGCGGCAAATGGCAATGCCAGATTCACAGCGACAGAGCCTCATAGTAAGTTTGCTATACCTCCCGCCCGGCCACCTATCGTAGCTTTTATTCACCTTGGGGTAACGAACGACTAACACGCAAACCTAGCGAGCGCTCGCGCACCACAAAGGCGCCGGGAATCTCCCGCATGGATTCCGGCCTATCCACCTCGACGAGGTCGTCGACCAGCTCGGTCGCGAGCACCTCGTCGCACTAAACTGTCTACATACCCATTACACAAGTGAAATAATCCCCCCATCATCCAAAGGGGTGGGGGAAACCTTGCCGTCGCGTTCCGTCCAAACGGTCCGGTCTCGCGAGGGTACACAGCGCATGCACAATTGCTGGAATTGGTCGAGTTCTTCTTAATCGGGAATGGGTAATACGAAGATTGGGGGGGAGGGACCACCTGATGCGGTATTATTCTGGATCGGCTGAGGCGGGAGGGAAAAGCTTAGCTTGTTCGGTCATATCGGCTCTGTGCCACCCCTCCCCCCCGGCCTGCAATAATGGATACACATGACGGGATATAGGTATCGAACATTTGGGGGGGCGTGGAAATGCGGGATGGCGCGACTCCGGATCCAATTGGACGGGAGAGGGTGTTGGGGGGTGGGAGACAGGGAGGGACGTCAAAAAGGCGAATCAACCGTTGATTCGTGATCAATGCGTTGAAACGGACCCCCCAAACCCTACCAACAGCAGATGCACGTGGGCAGAAACTGAACTGAACAAAGAAGTAAAAACAGATAAAAGACTGAAAAAAAAATTTGATTACTACTGTTCCTATTTTTTTTAACATATTGCTTGTTTGCACCTTACTATCGGACTTTGGTTGTTCGTGATAGGTAACACCACCATTAGCAACGAGGACGAATCGGATCTGGCGATTCTACATATTTACGTGGAGTAGTTGTTATATGTTTGTCCAAATTCCGGGTTGACTTCGATTGCCCATCTTAGATTCCTAGATCATCGACGTTACATCGCGAACCAGACGTTCTAGCAGGACGTCGAATGAAAGCTATCATCTATACTAATTGGACGCATAGAGCAAGCACATGCCAATGGCTCATCCAACAAGTCCCGGAGCCTAATCATTTGCTGTTTGCAATATGTCTGGGACTATATAATATAGGGGGGTATTGGGGGGGTAGAGATCCAGAGATGATGCTACGAGCGCCGTTGAAGCTGCAATGACTACCTATCTAGCATATGTAGGTAGGTAGGACCTCGTCGTATCAGACGAGATAAGAGCGGCGCAACGTGCTCTGAACGAAGGGTTCTTGTGGATAGGGGCCCGCGTCAAATTCATACCCAACTACAACGTTAGGTGATGGTACGCTCACTTAGACGCGCGACGTGACGTCCCACGACAGCACTTCACATCCCATTCTATCCCATACCCCCATCTGCATATAGTGAGAGTGGACCTCAAGGGAAACTCGCCCATTGCCACCATTCCTAGCGATGATACTTACTTCTATCTGGCTATCAGTCTCAACGATCGTGATGGACGCCTAGACCAATGGGTTAAAGGTCGGTGCCGCCGTTGTGTTACGAGGACGTCGTGCTGGCTTCGCAAAGTATCACCTTCGCGGTTTTGAGCTGCTCAAGCAAGCTGAGAGGTCTGATATAGCTGTGGATTCATGCTTGTAACACTGGATAGTGTTGGGTTGCGTGCTGTATAGACGCCTAACTAGAGATTCTTATCATTCCGACCCTCGAGGTGGTAGACGGTAGTTGACGTGACGGCTTGCCGGTCAATAAACGGGCGGGGGCATGTCCGCCTGGGATATAATCATCACGGCGGCAGTTTGGAAGTTTAATAACCTGGAAGAACGAGGAAACTTTCTATGGGGACCTTTTTAGCCTTGAGCTGAAGACGAAGCCGGCGAGATCCCTTGCTATAGGGCAGATAGAACCGCTTTCTTATAGGATGGTTATTTACTACGTCCCTATATAAGACGGTGTAAGAGAAAGTGCCTTCCATCTTTTAGAACATTACGAAGCACTACGTGTTGGCGTTGTAGAGGCAATCTATCGAGTTCGTAAGAAGGTATGCGCGGCTTATGTGCTCGTAATATAAACATCAACCTAAAGACATCAAATAATAGTAGAACTGCCCCCAAAGTTCCTCGGATCAAGAGTGTAAGTTTAGGAGAGAGAACACGGACATCAAGTTGGCGATTCGCTGTTATAGATTGACGGATATTCTGACCGGGTTTAGCTGCTTCCGAGCGTCTGTATGGAGGTGTTGTCTATGATTAATAGATTTTGCGTGGTATTGCAAGGTTACTTACTAGCTAGGCAATGGATTGTATCTAGACCATGATACTCTCCTTGGTGAGACTTTGATAGATATTCCAAGTTACTTTTATATGCTGAATAACCGGCTTATATTCATAATTTGGGTCATGGGCACCCTTATTTTAATTGGGAAAACCAAAAGCGCCGGGATTTAACTAATAGTGTTATAAACGGCTATTTGTATAGGTATAAGTTAACAATATAATGCTGAAGAGCTTCACGATATTGTTTGGAGAAGCAAATTGCATATGGAGAAGAGAATTAACGCCGAAAATCTTATAAAATGCCATATGTAAGTGGTACCTTGCATCGATCCTTTTCTGGGTCAGCTTAACTAACGAGGCCGCCAAGCTCTCGCTAATGAACGATTAGATTCGGTTGCTATCCGAACAATCCGAGGCCTCCGCAGGCCGCAATGCGAGAGTAATAGGCGAAGTAAAGTGGTTCTCTATCTCATTTCATCGTCAACCCTTGTAATATGAACGGAATGTTTTATTTGGTCCTTCTAACGGGTATATTGAATTGTTACTGATAGTAGGTACTTGCATGGCCGACACTTATAGTACATAAGAGGTAGTTAAGCTAAGAGTGAGGCTCAAGCTTGTAGTTGAATTACCCCATTAGCCTTTCATATAGATATGTGTTTGATTTCAAAATAGTGATACAAACGTATCTTAACAATTAATAAGAGAGGCTATTGTAGATAAATAACTTTATGCAAGGGCCCGAATTTAACAACCCTAGATTCGTGGCGGCTCTGTGTGTAATGTTGGATGTACATATGAAGATGGAGGATGTGCCTTTTAAGAACCTTGGAAAAGATACCCTCAATTTAGACAAGTACATCCTCAAGCGGGGCATGAATTTACCCCACTATAAGAAAGTACCTATGTACTGCTATCTAGGGTATCTTATCAGGGAATAATGAGTTTAATGCTTTCATTTGAACTATGGTAGATAAGATACGATCAACTAAGACATGCATGCTCTATGCCCAATACAAGTTTCCAATTATAAAAGCGAATAGTTATATTCAATATAACTTTGAATAGTGGGAATTGTCTCTCTTTTATAAGGCTGTCTCAACTTTTATTACGAGAGTATCTGCCTTCCCTTTGCCGCCGGGTCTGTCTGCCTTAACCATGGCGCAGCTCATTGGCTTATAACCCTATTACGCAATGAGGCGTCGAGTTTGAGTTGCGTTGGGAGGTTGCGACTGTGCCTTGCCTTGTACCGTACTTGACCTCGACTTACCTCGCCTGCAAGCCCGAACCTTATTAGGAGCGCGGCCTCGTTGCACTGCTCCGTTGCAGTCACCTATCATCCACCCCCCAATTCCTTCTCCCCTTCTTATTCTCTTCCCCTCTCTATTTCCTTTCTTCTCATCTTCATCTTCATCCTTTTTTTTCTTATTAATTGTTCGCCTTCTGTATACGATATCGAAGACGGAAAGTTGTCTTGGTAGTTTTATAGGGCATTTATGTCCCTACCAATAGGCAAAAGGCTTTAAAACATGCCTGTTCCCGTTATGGCTAAGGGTAAGTGAAACAAGAAGTCATTTGTCGTTTGGATGTACTTGGCTACCCCACGTCTAAGGACCAAAGTCGTTGCGGATCGCAAACGTGACTGCCTGCTGGTGGCTCGAGTCCTAATTGACTGTGGCGAATAACGCGTACAAATCAGGATTCAACGAACCACGCAAGCTCGTTTCTCTATTTCTCTTAGCATTTACAATCCTATTTGATCCTGTAAATTAGGCATCGTCATTAATTTTATTTCACCAATACCCTTTCCTAATAGCTTCAATAGCTTTAAACAAATACCTTGCCTCTCATACCATATTTCCCCTCCTTTTTTTTAGTCATCTGTTTTCTGCTTTCTCTTGGAATATTTACAATATGCCACCTATTAACCATGCTGCCGTCTCAGTCGGCGTTGTCGCCCTCACGGTTGCCGTCGCAGCTGCTGTAGCAGTCTACGAATCACCTGAACTACAGCGCATGGCAAGCGACCTCCGACGTCGAATTGCCATCGCACTCCACGCTCTCGGCGACAGTATTACCCCCGCAGAACGAGAGAATCTTTTCAACAGGCCCGAGGATGCCGAAGGATTTTTACAATCTCGAGGTTTCGGTGCCGAAGGAGAACCGGGTGTCGACGCTGACGATGAAACCCGTCGAAGACAACGAGAAGAGATAATGTACTGGAATGCCGTGCGCGAGGAAAAGAAAGAAAAGGAACGTAAAGACCCGGAGAAAGCAGACACTTCGCGCCGGCGGCCTTCGACGAGAGGTTCGAGTTTCGATGACTTCATGCAACAGGATAACGCCGCCGAGAAGGGTGCCTTTGTTTTTCAATCAGGATCAGAGCCCCAAAATACCGACGGTTTACTTCGACGACGTGGAGAAGGTGCCCGAGGTCTCGCCCAGTCTGTCTATACGAATCCCTTTACTGATGAGCATGGAATCGACGAACACATTACTTTCGAGAACAGCTTAGTAGACCCCGAAAAGGATGAAATCGAGTCGGATATTTACAGCGCTAGCACGCAACTTGGCGTTAAGAGCGAAACTTCACAACTTGCTATTCTATCACCAGCTCCTACTGACGTTATCCCGCCGTTAATCAGCATTGAGAACCAGGCCCCGGCTACGCAAGCACAACCTGTCCAGACATCCGAACGAGAATTAGGCCCTGACGAATTCATGACTGCTGGACAAGAGGACAGAAACGATGCGTACAGTTCTATCCAGGCTTGGGCTCATGACGCTTCATCCGCCAGCTTCTATTCGCCTCTACCAGTATCACCTGCTGCGCCTCTTTCGGATGCCGAGTTCTTGAGTGAAGGTGTTTTGACCCCAACAGACTCCGCTTCGCTAGCAGGGTCAGGTGAGGATGTTGGAGACGATGCTGTATCTGCTAGATCATGGACTGAGGGCCGACATTTCGATGTTATGAGCGATGACGATGGCATGATGACTCCTGCAAGCTGGACTGAAGTCGGAAGCGTTGTAAGCGAAAGTGATGCTGGCGTAGCGCACGCAGCACAGCATTAAGAAGGATATATATCTTTCGTCTATTATTCCGCATATTCTCATGGCATGGCGTATTTAGGTAAAGGATTCGGACATTGAAAGGATAATGGATTCAATATGGAGAGATGGATTAGGCATCCTCGATTATCGAGCTTTGATTTGTTTTGATGGTAGAGAGTTTGGTTTATAAGATGTAGTATTGCGCACTAAATGGGTATCTACGGCTCGTCTCAGATAAAATGAAAAAAAGCATCCCGCCAACCCTTACGCTCAGTCTCTAGGGAATTCTAATCATCTTTATCGGCATTCTTTACCCTTATAACCCTTGTAATGTTTAGTGGCGGCCAGACTTGATCCTTCTACTCGCCCTTTAGTAATGTCTTCTTATAGTCCTCAAACAACTGCTCTATCGGCCCCCCAACTAGCTCAGTCCAGAACGCCTTCTCCTCATACCTTTCATTCCGTAGCTTCTCATTCATCCGGCGTATAGTCCCCTTACCGAACCGATCTTCGAGGTATTCTAGGAAATATGCCGTGCCCTGGTACCCGACGTCCCATTTCGCAGGGATTTGCTCTCGGCTCCAGTGCGGCGGCGCAAGATCGCATTGCAGACGCACCCAGTCGGCCACGCCTTCGATCAGGCCTCCCGGCGCCCGACCCTGTCCGTTCCATTGGTAGCAGTGGACGAGCTCGTGCAGCAGGACGCCGTTGATCTCGGCGGATTGCCGGGACGACGGGGCGATGGAGGAGATGTACCGGAGCGAGAAGTGGATTTCTTTGTGGTCCGAGTCTAGGTCCGAGCCGGTGGTGTAGGCTACGCCGTCCATATCTCGCAGGATAAGGGTTACGGAACGTGTTGGCGGAGGCGAGGATGGGGCTTGGGAGTATAGTTGCTTGTGGATGGACTCGATGCTGCTGCTTAGCACGGTGGCGGCGTTCACGGACGACAGGAATATCGAGGACCCCGGGTGTGCGATGTCTTGGACGTGTAGACGTAGGCGCGGGAGCGAGGTGCCGGAGGATGAGGTGTCCTGGTTTTTGTCGCTTGGTGTCTCGTCGCCTTGAGGTTGCGTGGGAATGGCGGACGGGGCCGAAGTTGGAGCTGGAGCCGGAGCCGGGGATTCCGCGGCGTGAGACATGCCGGGCATAAATATGGGTTGGGGTACTGGCGTAGTTGCTGGAGGAAGAGACATAGACAAAGGAGGGTTGGTTTCCTCTTTGTTTTGTGAGACTCTGAGATGAATGCGGAGGGTTTCGGTTCCAAAGAGGTTATTGGCTGCGTTGAAGGGACTCATGGGGTGAAAATAGGTTTATAATGTTTATGTATTTATAGTAGTATAGAGGAAGGAGGGGCAGTTACTCAAGTCTATAATCAAATGGGGTAGGTATTGAGATGAATGTGTGGTTATGTACCTAAGTGTAAGTCAAACTTGGGGGTAATTGCTGTTGTATTTAATAGGGGTTGTTACTACCTTAGGTAACTAATGAAGCTTCAAAGAAGCTTCGTTATTCGTTGTTTATAGGTAGTATCTGTTTAATAGGGAATGTAGCTTAAACGCTATAGAAAAGGTCTATATAAATAATTGGGTATCATATAAGCAAGCTAAGACGTAGATCGCATGAGGCTCTTTAGGAACGAACAATATTGATGATGTTTACTTGGTCAGCTTCAGCTTCGGTCGTGCCCCTCATCGATTTCCTTGGCGGGGCTATTTGTTATTTACTAAAATTGAGCTGCATTTGGGGTTCTTAATCCTTCCATGATGAGGGACCCTTAGCCCCTGCCTCTGGGGTGTCACAGACATATTTCTTACCTATCATGTCGCTACAAGGATAGAAGGGATCAGTTAGTGCCCATTGAGTATTTTAGTGCTGTGCAGGTCCCACAAAAGCACTTACAGAAGTGGATACCCCCGAATGCCGTTGTCGTGGTGCAGAAAGTGGCCATTTCCTGCATCAACAACTACAACAAATTATGACAACAATACACATGAGAGAAAAATAACGAGTAGTTTCGCAAAAATTGTTGCTTCTATCACCTTTTTTTTCTATCTAAAGATCCTAGCTTCGTCTACATACGCATTAGTAGAAAGTGATCAATACAATCTCTGGTGCCTTCAATTATTAAATTAGCTCTGGAACAATCGTCGCAAACTTTTGTTATTTAAACCAATTCAATTTTCTGAAACTGAGTCAGTCCATACCACTACTACATTACTGTTCGTTAACTACCGAGGCCCCTATCTGCCCAACCACGATAACTTTGTGACCTAATCTCGTCGTATCCTACTTTACACCTTTACTTTACGAGCACGACTACATAAATCCGTCCTTATTTTGGGACCTACGACGTACTGCCAGATCCTCATTCCCCCCGAGGACCATGGCCGAAATGCTCACTGAGGATCAGGTCGCCGGCCTGCTGACTATCCTTAGGAAGGATGTCTCCGTCGACACGAAAGTTCAACACATCACTGCCGTCAAGTCCGCTATTAAGCATTACAGCGTACCCGATGTCTGCGTCGCGCCGCTCTTCGAAGCCCTTCGGCTCGCCTCGAGCTCGCAGCACTCGGTTCTTGTCAATGCTGGCTTCACTACGCTAAACCACCTCCTAACGCGCATGTCGCTACAGGAACCCAAGTACCTTGCCAAAGAAGCGAAACACACGCTACCGCTCATCGTCGAGAAGATGGGCGATCCAAAGGATAAAATAAGGGGACTAGGTATACAAGCTATGGCCACCATGTATAACAATGTACCGATAGACGCCGAGAGATTCGTGCGCAATACTGCTATGGTTGGAAAAAATCCCAGGTCAAAGGAATCGAGCTTGCAATGGCTACTGCAGGTATGCGCAATCCTTTCCTAGTAACGCGATTGTAGAGATATATGTTACTGGGTCAGTCGCTAACGTGACGCAGATGCACAAGGATCAGGGCTTACAATTCCGTGCTTACGTACCAGCTCTGATGGAGCTACTAGAGGATGCCGACGGTATGGTTCGAGATGCGACCAAGAGCACGGTGATAGAATTGTTCAAGTTCGTCAGATTCCGATCCCTATATAAACAACACAGCCTCTAACATCAGCTATAGGGACGCGCCGAATGGAGCGAAGACCGATCTAAAGAAGCAGTTGAAGAACTTCAAAGTGCGACCTGCTATAGAGCAGGCCATAGTAAAGGAATTAGCCCCAGCATCTTCAAGAACGGACCCCGAATCAAGACCCGCGTCGGTAATGCAGGTGCGACCAAATCTCGCAGCGAGCGTTTCCTCCCTTGCTAGCGAACGACCAATAACACCAATGCCCGAACCTAAGGCGGAGTCGGTCGAGCCCTCATACGTTAACACCAACCGAGAATTAGAAGATCTATTTAGAGATATGCACCCGTGGTTTGAAGGCAAAGAGACCGAACAGAACTGGTTGAAAAGAGAAGAGAGCATGACTAAGTTACGGAGACTCATTGCTGGCAACGTACCGTCGGATTTCCCTGATACCTTTGTTGCTGGTTGTCGAGCGTTACTCGATGGCATCCTCAAGGCCGCCAATTCCTTAAGAACAAGTTTGTCTAAAGAGGCCTGCGCTTTTGTCCAAGAACTTGCCAATAACTTTGGGCCGGCAATCGACCCAATGGTTGAACTACTGATGCAGACCTTTATAAAATTGTGTGCGGCGACCAAGAAGATAAGTTCCCAATTAGCTAATACATCGGTGGATATCATCATTGGAAGGACTACGTATAATGCTAGGATTATGCAACATATATGGGGTGCTTGTCAAGATAAGAATGTGTCGCCGAGGATGTACGCTACCGGCTGGTTAAAGACTCTGTTGAAGAAAGAGGCACATCACAAGAATCATCTGGAGCATGGCGGAGGATTAGACATGATCGAAAAGTGCATCAAGAAAGGTCTTAACGACCCCAATCCCGGTGTCCGCGAGAAGATGCGCTCGACGTACTGGGCGTACGCCGCGATCTGGCCAGCGAGGGCAGAAGCGTAAGTTGATTAATGCTTATATTTTCCTGGTATGCTGGCTAACTGTTGCAAAGAATCATGGACGGTCTTGAGTCAACCGCCCAGAAGTTATTACAGAAGGACCCTAACAATCCAAATTCACCAAAGAAATCTGAGCCTGCCCCTCGTCCGGGGTTAGGCCTTTCGAAGAGTACTATGACGTCCTCGAAGCCCTCCTTAAGAGATGCTATGTTAGCACAGAAGAGGGCCCTAGCATCGAAGAATTTACCTTCTCGACCGGCGTCGGCGATGGCGGTCACGCCGGCGCGGAGCGTGTCCGGGGGCTCGTCGGGTACGTCAGCAACTTCGCATGCGGCCAGTACCAATACCGCGACTCGAACGCGTGCAGATACATCGACGAAGTCTCATGGTGGTATGTCGGTAGCTCCAATGCGACCAGCTAGGAGAAGGCCAGATGTTGCGCCCCGACCTGCTACCGCCGGACCTTACTCCGTTCGGTCGCATGACGGGCCATCAAGAGAGCAGACAAGCCCCACTCACAGCACGAAACAAAAGGCTACGACCCCGAAAACGATCTCGGGATCTCCTAGAAGGACAGTCCCGAGAACTAGGCCCGGTCATGTAGCAACTGCTAGCGAGTCTAGTATTTCAACTCCGTCGAAGGAGGCAGCTCATAAGGCTGTTGCTTCTCCAAAAGCAAGTCCGGCGAAGCCTAGTCCAGTGAAGGCTAAGCCAATAGTGAACGAAATCAGCTATAGTAGTCCCGCCAATTCAAACGAAGATTTCACCCTTGTTGTGCCGGATATCGCGCAGTTGAAGGAGAGCATACAGATACGGTCTACTCCGCCCGAACCTTCTCCTAAAGTGCCGGTAATTGAAGCACCGAAAATCGAAGCACCGACAGCTGAATTGCCGATAGCTGTTGAAGATGAAGAAGTAACAGTCATTCACAAAGCCGCAACCCCGACCCCGACACCGTCGAAGTCACTAAAAGTATATGAAGATCCTTTTACGGAGGACGACCAGCCGACGCCTCGCCCAGCGACGAATGATATAATCGATCAACCAGTATTGAAAGACAAGCCTATTAACGAAGATGCTGCTAATCTCATACACCCCGCGGAAGCGAACGAGGTCCTTGGTAGCCCTCTTGCGTCGCCTGATAAAACACGTCAAAATTCCCGTCTTATTGACAGCGGCATTGCTCGCGTGAAAGCGCAAAGTCTTGATGTGCATGGCTTCCGTAAATTACAAAGCCTCGTCCGCGATAATAAAGTGCTCCTCCCCGATGATAAGTTTGACGCCTTACTACTTGGGCTCTTCGAGTACCTTGAATCGTCTCTTGATAATGTTGCTCCTGAGAAGGTCCAAGACGTAAAGGCGCAAATTCTCGCCACTATTAAGTTATTATTGAAAAAGTCTCGTGACAGATTCCAACCCCACGTATCTAGGGGACTAGAGGCTTTACTCGCCGCGCGCACCCGCTACGACGCGCGGACGCACATTGTCAGCGGCCTAGAACTGTTAGCAGACGAACTAGTTACGATTGGCGACGCAGGCGAAATTACGGTGACCATGACGCGCAACCTAAGCAACATGGACATGGACACGTCGGGGCACCGTAGCCTGAGCATGGGGCTGCATGTGCTAAAGGAGCTCTTGGACGCTCGGTCGTCGTTCACGCCTGGCGAAAACGAAGTGACGGGTCTGCTCAACCTCGCGACAAGGTGTCTCGAGAGTAAGGAGAGCGGCGTCCGTATGGACGCCGTGCAGCTGTGCGTGGCGCTGCATGCGCGCCTCGGCGAAACTAGGTTCTGGGAAAGCATGAAGAACGTTAAAGACGACCCCAAGAGCCTCATCACGTATTACATCGTTAAGCGGCAGAGGGAAAATGGAGGGGTCGCCGCTTAGATGAGCGGCGGTTCCCGGTTTTTCGCTCGAGGATGCGGTGTCTTTACTTTCTTTCGCGGTCGCGGTCGCGGTCGTTGTTGACAATACCCTGTTTGGCGGTGGTAGGAAGATCTACTATCTAGGTCGTCTGTGTCTGTGTCTGTGTCTGTCTAATTATTTACCTCTGCGTATTGTGGTGGTGGTCCGCGTCGGGATGGATGGATGTATATCACTAGGAATAAGGGAGTTTGTTTGGTCCGGCTAGGTACGCATACTATACCTTGGGTACTTTCTACGGCTCCGTTCTGCGAAAAAAAAAGCGCTGTTTACGGAGGGACACGCGGTGTTGGCGGGAGGGTGGGCGAACGGAAAGGGGACGGGTTACCTATGCCTATACTTATTACCTATACCCGCTAGGTTACTCGAGGGAGGGAGACCTTGCCTTGCTTATCGTACAGATTTTTTGTAATAAATAGCGCTCGCACACTTCGTGGCAAGCTTGTAGATTCAATGGAACGGGGAGCGGTATTTACGATTTAATATGGGAGAGGGCTGTGTTTGTGACAGTATCGGATGATGCTCTTGGTTTTACGTCGAGGATTTATAAGCTTCCACGAGATTTAATATTATTATTTTTACGCTCCCTGATTTTGATGATGGTGTTTTCAGTTTTATAGCATTCCGAGTGCTGGAAGTTTGAGATTATATATATATGTGTGTGTGTGTGTGTGTATAAGTTTTGTAATGCCATTTAGCAAACTAGAGGTCTGTTTACTTATTTCTGACAGTTCATTTAATTTAATTCACTCTATACTTATTTGTCTTTCCTATCTACCTAGGTTAGGGGCTTCTCTATAAGTTTGTCTAACCCCTGATCTTTAGATATGGCTGCATCCTATAGACATCATTTTATCAATATCATATCTCGAAAGGAGACACAGAAAGGAATTCCTAGCTTATTATTAAAGACTGGGGAAACCACGTCGTGGCTAGCTTGATAGATCCCGCATTAGACCCAGGCCTCCTTTTCCCGCTGCCCAGGACATCAGCGCCGACGTGCGCGGTAAACTGGTCCGCCGGTATCCCACCCTCGGGCTTGGACTTGCCGCTCGTCTAGCCGTCGATGATGTCTGCGATGGGGAGTGGGGGTGTAGAGCGATCCTTCTGGTAATTTGGCGTCGGTGTGGTGTCGTTGTCGTGGAAATGCGAGGTTATAGTTCCGGCCATGATTGGTCACGACGGAGACGCCCTTAGACTTTATAGCAATTCTAGATAACAGGCTTCCTTATACTGTGGCAAATACAGCGTGCATCAAATATCAATCTCAGGGTACAAAAACTCGCTACAAAGCTGCATAAACCTCTCCCGCTCTTCCCACATCGACGTATGGCTCGAATTCTCAAGCGTGACCCATTTAACCTTGCTGATGACCCTGAACCAGGGCTCCATGACAAAGTCCATCACTTCGTCGTGTCTCCCGTTCAGGAGCAACGTCTCTGCTTCAATGTCATGTGCGTCTTTCCAGCCCTCCCAGTCTTTGAGAGTACCGACCGTGGCAAATTCAGATGTGCCTTGCCTAGAGAACCCAGAGTAAGATTGGCGTTCAAAGGGGGTTATGGTCTTTACTCGGGTGGGAATGGAAGTAGAAAACTTACATAGTCTTGTATGCAGCAGGGTTCTCCTTTATATTGGCAAAAGCTTGCTGTATCGGCTCTGGCACCGGGTCTAGTCGACAGACGAATCTTCTCAAGAAAACGGTAGACACCTCCTTGTACTCTCGACTCTCATGGTCGCCATTTTCGAGGGCACGCTGTGCGTCCGGCGGCAGCTGGGCAAGACGACGCTGGCACGCCTCCCGGTAGAGCGGCATGCTGGCAGGCGAACCCGACATCACTAGCTTCTTCAAACCGCGGGGCCGTAGGGATGCATACGTCCCAGCTAACATGCCTCCCCAGCTCTGCCCGAGGAGGTGGAAGCCTTTATCTCGCAGGTTGAGGTGGTCGATCAGCTTGTCCAGCTCTTTGACGAAGAGGTCGACAGTCCAAAATGCCTCGTCGCCCAGTTTCTCGGGGAAGTGCGTCGAGTGGCCGCATCCGATCTGGTCGTATAGGATAATGGGAGCACCTCGCGTCTCGTGGATATCTGTCAGCGCGACCATGTAGTTATGGCCGGACCCTGGGCCGCCGTGGAGCGCGATCACGGGTGGTAGAGCTGTGTCAAGGCTACCGATGATCCTGTACCAAGTTTTGCAAGGTTTGCCGGCGTTTGGGACTTCCCAATCCATTTCCCCTTCTACCGATATATAGGATGACATTACTGGTTTAGATTAGACCGTACTTTAGGTAGGTTAGGTACTTAAGGCAATAGGATGAACAGGGGTGGAATCTGTAGGATATATGTATATGGAAAAGGAAGAAACAACTATATCCCACTTCCTAATAGAGGTAGGTACCTAACTATCTAAATACTAATAAAATATTCCCACCATCAAAGATGCCTTAGTTAAGAGCTTATGGAAATACGATAATCGTGCAGATGGAGGGGTCTCACTTATATCCTCTCCAGTGAGACTGGGGATACAAGGGGTGTATGTATGTTGGTGGCAAACGCCTAATCTACAAGGCTATAAGTAAGACTGAACTACCAACAAACAAAACTACATACCTACCTAGGCAACAACTCATACCGGCGCCTTGCAATAACTAGGTTACTTACTAATGAGCCTTGATATATAGGAGAGAATTTGGACGTCAGCACTAAGACGAAGCGTGCTGTGCCTAGGAATGCAACGTTTGCGCGGAGAGCGTTGAATAGCTTCGAGGATGAGGAGGACGTCCATTGGGACTTCCACGATGATGAGATTGCAGCTTGTCTTAAATAAAATATATATATAGGTATATATAGGTATATATAGGTATATATACGGTTCAAGTGGCATAATCACCTCTTCTCAGATGGCCAGTAAAGACTCCTTTTTCCTATTTTATTAAAAAATGATATATATCAAGATACATACACTATTTATTATTTCATACAATTAAATATAGGGGCTATCAACAACGAAGCTTATATGAACATTCCAATCATAATTAGATGTGGGTTTAAATACGTTAGGGCGGCTAGGTATTAAGGATAGATACTAATAAGCTAGAAACCACCTACCATCTCTCCCTCAACGATATTATCTCATCTAGTCACTCAAAATCCTAGCATGAAGGCTTAATATCTAGTGTAGGTGGCAGTCTAACCATCAAAGAAGGGAAATAAATAATTTATGCAGACAATATCACAAGTTATAATCACCACAATTTACCAAAATTCTCACAAAATCGTGGGTTACATTGTCAAGAGGCGAATCGGCGACCTAAAAGGACAAATATGTGTCTTCGCCTCTACCCCTGCCGACCTAAGTGCTAAGACAAGAAAGGACCAAACTCAAAGCAAAAAGCAAATAGTAAACCAACCCTTAACACCTGACCATGATCGTAGATACGTGCGTCATCCTCATCTGAACATGAGGGAGAGGGGGTATTTTGTCCAGTCTAGAAAAAACGATATCGAAAATCCCTTTGCCTTTTTTTCCATGCATGCAAAAAGTCTTGTATGAGAATGCCGAAATTTCGTGAAACGCCGATTCCAGAGTGGGCTACCTAAGTACCATCCGTGTCGTGAGACGTGCTGTTTTTCCGTCAGAAAAGAAGACAAAAGAGATCTCTCTTGGAAGGTTTTTTTTTCCTTTTATCTAATTGTTCATTCCATTCCCATTTGAACTGGTGAAGATGGAAGTGCTGAGAACTTTGTGGGAGATATGTGTGTGAAGACACAGCGCACACAGCGCGCAGTGTCGGCAAGTTGTATTAATCGTGCAGTCGTATAATCGTGTATACCGCATGGGTCTATATTCATGAATCGTGATGATTTGTTTCCTAATTTCCCTTCATCGTATTCTGTATACCCGAAACGTGCGTATGAAAGTCGTTAGATGCCTATAGGCAACTGAAAAGTTTGTACAAGAACTGTGTGAAATGCAATGCGTCCTATAACGGAGAGTGATATGTAAGACTAGGAGAGGCTCTTAGTTGTTGAGCAAGAGAGGCGCACAGAATAAGAACTCGAGAGATCGTGAATCTGTCGGTTGGAAGTTGTTCTGATCACGACGCGCCTCCAAGTAAGCAGTGGTGACATTGAGGTTGTGGAAATAGTTCTGGACCGTTGGGTCGCTCTCGTTGGCCACAAGAGGCGAGTCAGGGCTCATGGCCATGGTCTTCGGAAGGATATGTCGGATAACTAGCAGCATTCTAAGCAGCTCAGTCAACTCATGTCCCTGGTTCGTGTATGTGTCAGGTTTTTTCGCCAATGGCCACTTGGGGAGAAGGTTCTCCTCATTCCACGCTTTAAACGCCCAGGTAGTCTTCTCCATGCAGTTGAGGAAGAGCATGACAGTCAGGAACATGGGAAAGCCAAGCCTGGCCTTACCGTCCTGCAGATGCTTCTGAATATCATTCAGTAGGACTTGGCTAGCGGCACACGCTTTTCGCTCAGCTGCAGCAGTGAGCTGCATACAAATATTGGTATAAGCTTCGCAGTCGGAATCATCCTTGATCAAATAGTCCTTGACGTCCTCTTTAGAAGACTTTGCCAACATTGTCCATTGGCGCTCTCGGTCCATCATCTCAACAATTCCCCATAGTTCCAGAGACCTCTTGAGCAGTTCGTCATTGGTATCGTTTACGACCATGATGGCCGCATGCAAAGTGACTCGTACATAATGAGACGGCTCACGGCGGATGAACTCGTCAAGAGTTTCGCGCATATAGGCTTCAACCTTTCCCGGAATATCCTCGTTGTTGTCAAGCAAGATGACCGGTCTAGGATTACCGTCACAGGGAAGCCCGTTGTCCTTCTCCTTGGGAGTTCCTTGTAAAACTTGGAAGACAATCTTGTGTCCGGTTTCTGGGAAGTGCGAGACTTCAAGTGCGATGGCGGCACTCTGGAAATTGTGACTGGCCTTGTAACCATTAATTCGTCGTTGAGTCATAACAACCTGTACTCCAGCCGAGTACAGGTTGATATGCTCAGACAATTTCGTCCGTACACATCCAGTGCGCCAAATTCGAGGTGCAAGAACTTTCTTACAGGCATTGCACGGTGTACCTTTCGAGCACGTCTTGCGTAAAATGCGACAGCGAATGCATGCTCCAATGCGACGAACCTCCTGCACCTCCTTACGGCGACCAGAGTCGAATCGTGCCCGGCTATGGCGGTGACGAGCTCCATTGAGAGTATTGCTTGTATCCATACGAAAGCCACCCCTATTTAGAGTTGCTGTCAAGTGCTGACCATGATCATTGACTGTTGCAGGAGCGTGAATATCCTCAGGCATATATGTCATGCCGTCCCAAGGAGTGACAGATTCATTAGTGTTCGGCGGTGCGTGCTGTCTCTCAGGCGAAGGAGGGTAGTCAATTAGCATCTCCGTAGACTGGGTGTGGGTGGGCGTTTCGGGAACGTCTTCGTCGGTCAATAGCTGTGGGTCTAACAGAGATGGGTTGAGACGAGCTGTTGCTGCTACGGCTACTGACAAGGCGGAATGAGTAGGCGATATAGCACTTTCTTCTAATTCGTGCGCTCTTTCTTCGAATGCTTGCCTCAGCCTGTCCTCTGCGGTGAGGGGCTTCTGCGGTACATCGATATCTGTAAAAAAAAATAGTTGTTAACATACATATTTATTGCTATAACTCTACTTGAGGTCATACCCTTAATATCTTCATGTGAATGGTTGTCTAGACCGGTCGGCGGGTTCTCCAAAGTGAACTGCTCATGGACCTCGAAAGAATTGGCGGTAGCTGTGATAGGTACGACGGCAGCAGCTAATGTTGTTTGAACAGCTTCGGCTGTAAGGTCTTGCGTAGTCGGGACATGATCGTCGTGCTTCTCATTAGCCTCAATCTGACGAGAGACTTCAGCAAGGGTTTCTAGGGGTGTCCAGATCTGATTCTGGGATTGCTCGAGCGAGGTCATAGAAGAAGAGCCGTGAAGATGGCCGGGAAAGGGGCCATGGTTAGGACCGGTGTGCAAAAGACCTTCGAATCTTGGTCTATTTGAGCCATTGCTGATGCCGTGTAGGGTAAGACACGCGTGAGCTCTGTCGGCTTCAGGGATCGCAGGACATTTCTTCGTTAGGTGGTTCGTAAGGCTGTCAATGCGACCTTTAGGGAAATCCTCGCCACAAGCTTTGCAGGTATGATGATATCGATTGCTATTGTCGTTCAATTTGGCGCCGCGCTCGAAAAACTCGAGAATTATAGGATTGGGCTTGCGGCCCATCTTGTCGGATTGACAATGTCGTCACTCAAGGTTCGAGTAGATGGCAGAATTGTGCGGTGAGTCCAAAAAGATTTGATTAAGGAAAATCGATCGGCCCGACGAATTGAAAGAGGTAAGAGTTTCGGGAGGATGAATAGATGGTGGGGAGCTTTAATTGATGGGACGGTAAGGGATCTTCCCAGTTCGTCTCAAGTCGCCGCCCCACTTAGGCAGGTACATAAGGTCCTAAGGTTCTAAGGTTAGAATCAAACAGCAAGCGCCGTGGGGTTACAAAGAAGGTACGATACACATTGGAATGTATTATGTAGATTAGGAAGCTACCCCGCGATCACACCTAAATATGAACATATAAATCGTGCAGGCGCTGAAAATACATGTAGATATCTGAGGTAGTCGCTTAGGCCAGGCACCTTCTATCCTTGAAGGCTCTCCTATTGTGAAGTACGTGGACCCCTATTATCTCTGTATTAAGACAGTTTGAGTATTACCTATAAGAGATATTCCAATAGCGGTGATAATGGCACAATGCAAATTCCCATTATCTTTCCCATAGGTCTTTGTGGCTAATAGGCCAATACCAAAGATACCTTGTAGTTAACAAGTTTTGTCCCGCGCTTAACATCTATTTCATAACAACTTGACAATTCTATAAACTAGCATTCGGGATATCGGCTTGCGCAGACTCTACGCACCTGGTCGATATAATCACCTTGATTGGTAGATCATTGTATTACTAGTGGACAAGAGCCTCTCCGCATATAATAAACTATTACACCAGGTACATTCAATGCAATACTACTATATTAAATTACAAGGGATACCTACCACTTTAAGATTTACACAAAAGGACTAGAAGTTTGAATAACACGATCCTTCAGATGACAAGACCGGACGAGACCAAGGCGTCAATCAAAACCTTCAAATTACAAGGTCAACGGAAATCGGAAACTAGCATAACCCTATGCTATTCTCTAACCTAACGAAAGTTGGGATGAAGAGGTGTGTATGCTACCTAGGTAGGTATCAAAGAGAATCTAGCATGTGCTACCCAATAACAAGACACTCAGCACTTGATATTCAAGTAACTATAACTATGCTAACTAAGAAAAATAGGTCATCTTTAAGACTTTATACTACCTACTTATCGCATCGATTTAAAAGTCTTTGACACTTCGTCTAGAAGTAGAACAAGCCTATTGATTAGGTAGTTTAGACTGTCAAGTACAACAAGTCGAGGTATTGAAATAGCAGCCCTATGCTCAGGTGCCAAGCCTATTTCAGCAAGGTTTTCTAAGATGACAAGGTTGTGATCTTCACTGCGCCTCGTCAAAGCTGCTCCACCCCTTTCATAATAATACCTAATACAATCGAGACAGATACAGGGTTCACCGTGAACCCGGTTTAACATTATAGCAGCAGCAATCATCTCCTACTCAGTGGAAATGTCCAGCCTAGTTAAACTAGTCAAGCTTAGTCCGGTAGGATTCCAGGAGCCGTGGCTTGGTTGCCCCGTTCCATAAGTCCAAAATTAGGTAGCTCCTAGGATCTATGTATGTCATCGTCATCAGGAGCCATAATAGGAACGTTACGCTGTTTAGACAACTGCTTTATTATTCGTTCATTTTATTCGTACTCTTCGTACCGAGTACTATACATTCTTTACAGTCTCTACTTTTGTAATTCTCAGTTCTACCCAGGGGACTACCTGATTCTAGCATGTTGGATTCTTGATGTTGCGATATTTATTCGTGTCGATATTGGACTTTGTCGAACAATTTCAACGTCCAGGTCACCCTGACAAAATGCGCGTTCCCGCAGGCATGGCGCTGGGCCTAACACTTGCTCAAGCTAAAGAATTCCAAGTTCAAGAACTGAGTCAGTTTGTATTACCATTTGTATGTAACCCGAATCAGTATACACTCCGAGAGCGTCCCTGAACTAATAATTCCGACCAAAGACCGGCTCCGTAAATGGGGGTAACACTTTTCCCGGCGTTAGCTTACCATTCGGGATGGTAAAGCTGGGCCCCGATCTATACACCGGATCCGACAGCTATTCGGGATATCAGTCCAATGGAAATTTCACCGGCTTTAGTTTGTTGCACGAGAGTGGCACAGGCGGTGCACCTAAATACGGAGTTATCAGCCAGTTACCCGTTGTGGGCTCAATTGACAATCCATTGACCGACCAGGGCATTAGCCGAAGCAAGGCAGATGATGCGAGACTCGGCTATTACAAGTCAAGCCTGTCAAATGGCATTACCGTGGAACTAGGAGCAACTGGTAAAGCCGGTCTGTTCCAATACCAATTCCCGGGTAATGCAGACGGTACAAATGTTATTGTCGATGTTTCTCATGTTCTTCCATCTTTCAGAGGTCAAGGTTTAGGTCAAAACTATTTGGGAGGCAATATTTCGGTGTCCAGAACGGATGATGGCGTTCGTTACCAAGGATCTGGTTCTTATGATAATGTATGTTTATCAAACCCAATTGGAAGACACTGGTTTAAGTTAACTTTCCCTAGGGTTGGAACCGTGCCCCGAAGTGGACTGTTCATTTCTGTGGCTATTTCGATCAGTCAGCAACATTTAAGACGTTCTTGGGTAAAGACTCAACAGGTGACGACCTAGTAGACTACAGCGATGCTTCCGAGCAAGACTCTGATGCCCGATTGGGCGCTGTCTTCACCTTCGATAGCACAAATGTCACCTCAAGGGTAGGAGTATCGTTCATTTCACCTGAACAGGCTTGTGAAAATGTCAACAGAGAAATTCCTGTCGGGACATCTCGAGAAGCTTTGGAACACAACGTTAAGGCATCTTGGAACAGCCAAATTTTATCAAAGGTCACCACAACAGATGTCTCTAACACAACCAGACTTCAGCTTCTTTACTCGTCTCTGTATCACATGTCCATTATTCCCAGCAACAAGACTGGAGAGAATCCGCTCTGGTCGTCGAGCGAGCCTTACTATGATGATATTTTTACGTTCTGGGACACAGTAAGTTGCACTCTCTAGATCGTCGGCATCTGGTAACTAACCAGTCGCAGTTCCGGTGCACAACCTCTCTTCTGCATATCCTGCAGCCCGTGGTATACGAGGAATTCATCCGTTCTCTAGTTGATATATGGAGACATGACGGCTTCTTACCTGACGCGCGATCCTCATTCTTCAACGGTGCAACTCAAGGAGGCTCCAATGCAGACAATATCCTTGCAGACGCTTACGTAAAGGGAGTTCGTGGTGCTATCAATTGGGACGACGCATTCTCCGCTATGGTCACAGATGCCGAGACGGTGCCGCCGAACAACAACGATTCTAGAGACAAGACTGCCTCTACTAAGGAAGGACGAGGTGCCCTACCCGATTGGATAGATCGCGGATACATTACTACAAAATACAAGCGCTCTGTCAGCCGAGCCATCGAATAGTAGGCAATGCCTCAATCCTATATATTAGTAAGAAATTAGACTAACAACCCACAGTGCCGGAAATGACTTCGGCCTCTACCAAGTAGCCAAGGGTTTAGGAAAGGACGAAGAGGCGCAGAAATACCTTAACCGCTCTCGCAACTGGCGCAACCAATGGAACCCGGACCTAGAAGCATTAGGATTCAAGGGCTTCCTAGGTCCGATTGACGAAGACGGTAACTTTAAGGACCAGGACCCGCTCAGCTGCGGCGGATGTTATTGGGGCGACGACTACTACGAGGCGCTGCCAATCGAGTATTCGTTCAACGCGCACCACGATATCAACAAGTTGGTCGAGCTGTCGGGTGGCAAGGACACGTTTACCGCGCGTCTAGAGAAGTTCTTCGAGGGTGGCGTTAGCTCCGGTAACTCGCAGTTCAACCACACGCTTTTCAACCCGGGTAACGAGCCCAGCTTCACGTCGCCGTACCTCTTCAATTACGTCGGCCGCCAGGACCTCAGCGTCAAGCACAGCCGGTACGTCGCCGATAGCTACTACGCACCAACGCCCGGCGGACTTCCGGGGAACTCGGATGCGGGCGCTATGGAGTCGTGGCTGTTGTGGTCCATCATTGGTCTATACCCCATGACGGGCCAGACTACCTTCCTCATCGGATCCCCGTGGTTCAAGGACCTAACTATCGACCTCGGCGGTGGGAATAAGTTGCAGATTAATACGGAAGGAGGCGACGCTCAGTCTTACTACGTTCAGTCGCTTAAGGTCAACGGCGAGAATTGGGATAAGGCGTGGGTTGCGTGGGAGGATGTTTTTGCCAAGGGCGGCACGCTAGACTTTGTTCTAGGGCCGGAGCCGGCTGATTGGGCGACTGGAGATGCGCCGCCGAGTCCGGCTACGGAGTCGTAGGGGTGGTTCATGATCAATGTGGAGAGGTTAGAGGGCCGGCAGATTTAGAGTATAATCTAGCTATGAAAAGCGAGAAATTTGATTCTTGTATATATGGGAAATTGGTGTGTATATACACATGTTTAGGTATCTATCCATAAATATCGGCTAGAGCTTAGAATTAAATACTTTGACGTCGTGTTTCAACTACTGAGTTTAGTCTTGTCGCTTGATACTACAGCTTCTCCAGATTAGCCTATGCTTCGGGATAGGGTTGAATGTGAGACACCGGTTGGAAGTGAATTGTTACTGCTACGTGCCTAAGATTTATATCAGCGCTACCTCAGGCAAACTAGGTACCTAACCTACGTGTTACGAGTTACGGAGAATTCTACAAGGCTCTATTGTCTAATAAAAAACGAAGGAGAACCCCCCCAGCCGGTGATTCTAGTTTTCTATACATGTCACCGGGAAGATTAGCATCTGGGTTAGACCCTCTCTTTGCTAATTGTGCATTTTCCTTTCCCCAAGTATTTCCAGAAAGTGGAAAATGTTTGATGTTACTGGTAGCCTGATAACTTTGTATTTCGGTGTATTTAGGGGGTAGTGTAACAAGGCTAGGGACGTATATTCAAGATTATCTCTAACAATTTTCTAGGGTCATAGGAATCGATGCTTACCTTTTGTAAACGGTCTAAGGTGCGTATCCGTATCTTGAGTCCTAACCGCCTCCTCAATATGTATGTTGGTTATCTTGCATTTTACTTGCATTTCCTCGCGATGCATATTGTCCAATGACTCTAGCAGTAGTTATCCTAGCCGCCTGGGGTGATCTTGGCTGCCTGGTATTCTAACCAACAAGTGATAGGTAGATATGGGATTTATTCTATCTCTACTCTTTGTACCTTGGGGCTTCTTAGGTGTTCTTGGAGTTTGGTGTGACATCCTCCTGGAGACTATTATGTTGATTGATAACTGTGAGTCGTAATATTCGTAACTAATTTGTCGGTTTGTAAGAGCTCTAGACGTCGTAAGGTCTCGTTGGTATTTCCTAACTGCATTTTGTGCAAACCAGCCTCGACAACTTCGGTATCTTCATAATTAATTTAATCTGTGCACATAGCTGCTATATTATCAAGCCACTGAGCGGGGATATTTAAGTTCTCGTCTGTCCCGAATTTTGTCAGATCTCGAGGTGTAATTATCTTCCGGAAGTCTATTGTGGGTGTCTCTTTGGTGTATTACTATTTATAAATGACTGATGAGCTTGAGAAGTATATACTATCTTAAAACTAAAAATTGTTTCTTGTTGATACGTTATGTGGTGATCTATTATTTATTTAATATACACAGCTGCATGAAGATATCGTAGATACTTTGTGTCAGCGCTGTAGGTCTTATGTATACTTTTTCTAACACTGTGTTTAGGTTACCTACAAACCGCCACTTCACCGATATGTTGGGCAGTGCGTCAGTAAAGAAAGTAGTAGAGGTATCAGGCTATCATCTAACGGAAACATTAAGGGGCAGCTTTAGGGTGCCTACCTAAGGATGAAGATTGGGGGAGCTTAGCTATATTGATGTCCTCTTTTTATAAACCTTTTGGTAGGTATAGGTATGTGAGTTGCAATGATCTTTACACTAGTATGCCTGTCATAATAGAAAACTAAGCTGGAACTACTCCGTTTGTAATATACGATGTAAAAGCCGAGTCGATGAAGGACGGCGCTTATAGACCCAAACCTTTCGTTCCTAGCCAATTATCTTATACGAGACATCTCCAGCTCACCGTATCGCTCCCCGGTTAGTTTCAGTCTATCCTTAAACCCGCGTTATTTTATTATGATAGGACGAGTTTACTCGACATCGTGGGACGTCGGCCATGGCTATCGGCTGCATTGAAAAAAACTGACCTATCATAAATGTACATATCTACCAGTGATTGGCTGTATGTACTCGGATGCCCGCAGATCTAGTTTTATGGGATCTACCTTTGCCTACTCGACAAACGCGATCAATACTACTCTTCTACCACAACCAAGATACTCTGTAAAACTTCAAGTATTAGACACGCGACTAGACGAACTTATCTTATTACCTAGATACGGAATACGACATTAGCTCCGTATGTCCAAGCCAACCCCAATGGACGCGTGGACCACAAGAACCCAAAGCGAAACAAGCTCGCTCAGCGGCACAACCGGCGTCTACACGCCCACACACACAACATCACCAGCCGACCTCGCCTCGATCCCCCTCCCCGCACCCTTCTCCACAGACGGGGGCATCGGGTCCGCGCCCGAAGCAGGCGGGACATACATGATCCGGCACTTGGACACGGGAAAAGCCCTGTCCCTTTCCGGCGGAGAATTGGTGCTACAAGCCGACACCGGTATAGACGGGGGCTGGCGATGGCACTGTAGCGAGAGCCACGACGGGTGGCTGTCCTTCCGGGAGACGGTGTCGGGGGTCTATTTAGGACGGGACGGCTGGGGCGGATTTCAGGCGAAGGCGCGGAATCCGGATGGGTGGGAGAAATTGCTTATCCGGCCGCGCGAGGCTGGGGGGTGTAATATCTTCGCGATGGATTGGTGGAAGTTGATGGCTATGAGTACTAGAGGAACGGACGGCAAATTGTTTGAGACTAATACGGTGACAGAGGCTTCGCGGTGGGAGTTTGTGCGGGTGTCAGAGTTCGGTGGTTGATACTGTTCAGCTTCACTAGTATATCGTATCACTTAATCTTTCACTCTGGGATCTTTAAAGCTAAGTCGTTTCTAGGTCAGGGAACAGGTAGAAAAAACTACTCGACTAGCCAAAATGATGATATTGAAACTTATTTTAATAGTGTAATATGCTCTGTATACCCCAGGTACCTACCGATATAAAACAGCCGCGTATGAACTCCAGGGTATCTAATAACGGCGCAAAAAATGTACTATACAAATCACAAACGGTCGCTACCCCAAACATTCCGGAACTCATCCTCGTTTCCGGCGCTGAATACTGGACTGGTTGCATCATGCTCCGCCTCATCATTACCCCATTGGTTGCTTTCCTGCCCTTCAGGGGTTACTTCGTCAGGTGTCGGCTCTCCTACTTTGAATGTTAGATCTTCCTCCTCGGCCTCCTCTTCTAGAATTTGAGGCTCGGAGGTTGATAGTATGGGGGCACCGAGCGGACCCTTCGACTGGGACTCCTCAGCAGCGACAGCCGTTGGCTCTGGGGGAGGTTTAGGCAGATGCTTAGTCTGTTTCTGCTTGCCTTTCTTCTTTTTGCTCTTTATGGTTTCGGTACTTGAGGCTGTTGTTGCCGGGGGCCTGTTGCTGAGGCTCTCGGATGAGAGAGATCGAGTTGCATGCCAAGCTCCGGTACGCGATTGATACACATCTGGATGCGTCGAGAGCCAGCGCTCTCTTGTTGGCACGTTTGCGGTGATGACAGGATACTGAAACGATATAAGTAATGCGTCAATAAACATGTTAATCAAACTTACATTCCAATCTCCAAACTCTAACTCTCGGGCTCTGTTGTAGAGGCTCTCATCGTCGGGGTCTAATGTAGATTCGTCGGTGGAGCCATGATTATACTTTGGCGCTGGATCGCCGGCACCGCTCGGCCCTCCGTTGGAATTTAAGAGCGGCGTATTCGCACTTAGCTCCCCTCTAACCTCTCCAGGTTTAGGAATCCAGTACTTTGCCTCGCCTCCTCGCTTATATCTCATCCCATCTTTTAATCTTGCAAATCGGGAGCTTGAGTCTTCGTGTGCGATAACTTTTCCACTAGAATCAAATAGCCTGTAGCTGTATTGGTCTCCACTAAACGTTTGCTTTGAATCCTCAATAAGATCAAGAATACCAAAAGCATCTCTCGCCGCATACTTGACGGGTAATCTGGCAGACGAGAGTGTGTTATCGGCGTAATCGTGCCAAGAGAAGGCGTACCAATGTGCCACGGCGAACGCAGGCATTTCACAACAGATCAAAGCATCTTGGATGGCAGCTGCTAGATTGTCCGAAGTATACCCCTGAACATCGTCCGGGATGGCCCCAAGCCAAACGAGGATGGAAAGGAAAAATCCTTGCCAATAGGAAGCGAAGATGATGAGCTTGATGCATAAAAACTTGGGCACAGGTCGGAAAGGTACTAGGTCATTGTGCATGCAGACCCAAAACAGCCCAAGAGAGTACAGACTGACAGTAACACTGATGTTGTATATGATACCACTCCATAAGTAGCCTGAAGAAAGCCCGATATACCCTTCCTGATATATACCTGTTGCTTTCATGATAATCGCTGCAAGAGCTAGAATGGGCTTAAGCCATGCGTATTGGAGAATTCCTCGCTTTATAGCAAGGAATGTGTATGGATCGGAAATATCGACTTTCGGGAAGAGGTGGTTTAATGGCCACAGATGATGCACAGGAGCGCGGCCATGTGCCATTATTATAAGGGCTCGTTCGCCATCGAGGTAGTTGATTAGGAGTTGGAAGAAAGTGTAGATGGTGAAGGCCTTTTTGCTAGCAAGTTAGACTAGTGTTCAGAACTTAAGAATCCGTAGATAGAGTCGCATTCATACCTCGTATATGTCTCTTATAGGATCTAGAAACGCTGCCGCGGTTAACGACACCATACTAACCCACGAACTTATCGAATAGATGGGAACCCTGAGTAATATTAGAGGTGTACAACATTATGCTTATTTTTTTTTTTTCTCACATCAATAATATCCGTACGACGTATCGCTGCAAGAGAGGCTTCCGGTAATTCTTTCTGTATACGCGTTTAATTTATTGTACAGCACGACTAGGAGTGTAGGATGGGCATACAATTGAAGCCATATCGAGCTGTTTTAGTAACATATCAGCATTACTACATTAACTTAAAGAGAGATAAGCAGACAGTTAGATCTTACACGATAGACATTAAGGTGGCTGCCAAAGAGAAGACACCAGCAATAACTGTCGTAGCAGTGGTGAACTTCTGGCCGGTACCGCCAGCCATATTGGCGGTTTAAGACCTACGCGTCACCGGAATGGGACACTGCCTACTCAAAGGACAATAATTTCAAAGTAGCACATGTTCGAAATTCGTGGTGTTGTAAGCGGAGGTTTAATGATGAAAGTGGAGGGTTTTTGGGAGTTCTGAGAAATGTCATTTGATTAAGATTCTCGAAGCAATGCATCAATGACCCTTGCACCTTACCTGGGCCTGGGGGGAAACTGCCTGGGTACGTACCCATTCGATTAATCCCATGCAACCCCGTGCTACCGTAGCTTATGCAGCTTGTGTGGATGCATACCTTATCGATTAGTATCGATTAGTACGGGTTAAACGGCTTAAATTCAATGGACCAATATGTGGATCGACTTAAGTACCTAACTTCATCTGCGGCTATCCTTGTTCGTCACGCGTCATGCAGCAAATCTAGCCCAGGTTTAAATGTTGTACAATAGTACCTCCAATTACACTACTTACATCCATGTACGTATCCGAATTCGATCAACCTTTCAACCAATTGATGATAGATATTCGCAACCTCATATTGGAACTTCGCTGCCGTTTCCCTTTTAAGTACCCGAACGATATACCTGCCTACGCGCCTCTCTGGAGACGTTACAACTTGATCAACAATTACGATATGGGGCTCGATGTTTTCTGAGGTTAGGATAGTGGAGAGAACTTAGGTGTCGCAAATCGTAGGGGGTGCATTGGGGAGTTTGGGGAGTTCTGGAGTTGACATGGCTAACACCGTGGGCTGGCGCGACTTTAAAGCGTATGTTTTTACTTATCCATCTAGAGATGGAGTTCAGAGATATCCCCTACTAACTTGGCAAAGTCAATTTCTAGCTTATATCATAGTCTGCGGTTTACTGTAAGTTATCTTAAACTGTATGCGATTCCCGCTTGTTTTTATACTCAACTCGACTACAGTGCAATCTTCTTCCTACTTTACTTTAATAGAGCCTTTGCCTCCATCGTCTCCTACTTTATTCGTACCTATACCTGGCATCGATACCGCATCTATATAGACATACAAGCGATACAATGGTCACTACTTGGTGGTCGTATCTTCTTTACCGGCCTTCGATATCATGGAAATAACGAGACTATCTTTATTCAGAATGGACATATCACCTGGTCGTACTGGCTGCGCAGGGTACGCGATGTTGGTCTGGGTGGTGGGAAAAAGAATAAGGAGTCCGGAGATGGTAATACATCGGATACTAGGAAACAAGCGGAACTCCCCTGTCGTGTCAATATCGTCGTTTCTGGGATCGAGTGGTTCGTTTATAATCGTAGTGCCGCCTACGACTCTATACTTGAAGCAATGTCTGTGCCCCCTCTGTCTAAGCACGGCGATATACTTGACCGAACCGAGGGCCTGGCGAATAGCTCGTCGAAGCCACGACAGCGGCTTCGCAAGTCTCATGAGAGGTCCGAGCATGTCGAAGAAGGTAGGCAAGAATACGTTGATGAGAAGGACGGCCTTGAGGCTCGCCCCCGAAGGGCCTTTAAATCTACTTCTACCTCCGATGGTGGCTTCGAAACGGCGGGTAAGGGAGACTTACCTCAAGTATTACAAATACTCCCAATTCATTTCAGATGTGACAAGGCAGCTCTTGTCATGGGAAATGAGAATACCAAGGCCGTTCTCATTATAAAGTCTAAGGGTCTGTCAGGAGAAGTTGATGCGAGCGATTGTCAAACTCCGGATCCCTATCGACAGCTTTTTAAGATACATTTTGACAACCCAGTACTTGAGATGAGAGAAAACGACGGGTTCAAGGAAGAGCAGCTTGCCCGGGCTGTTAAGGACGAACAAGTCGCAAAAGCTACCAGCCCTGTACCCCCAAGACCATTCTTTCGGAGACAACGCCGCAAGGTGGTTGGACAATTGCGGAATATGGTTCCATATTGGCGGAAGTCTGTCGAATCATTTTCGGCAAATTCTCAAGATGAAGATGGCCCTAATGAAACCCGCATACCAGGCTCAAACCAATGGCAAGGGCTTTCCAGGTATCTCAATGACGACGACGACGACGATAGACTTCGATGGTCGTCAGTCGAGTATGCCAAGGTGAATCCCGTGGTTGATAGTCCTAAGGGGACGTTAACAATACTCTGGGATGTTCCCGGAAAAGTTGCACCACGTGGCACAATATATTCATCAAAGGGCGAAGATAGTGTATCCGATGATATCAATGGAACCGTCGCGCCGGCCTGGGCGATTAATCTGTCTTTAAGCGGTGGCATAATAAATTACGGGCCGTGGGCAGATAGACAACGAGCTGAACTTCAGAAGGTATTTTTCCCAGGTTTATGCAAGGATGCAACTCCTGCTCAGAGGCTACCATTCGGCGCGGACCGTGTGCCTACACGGTTTAATTTCTATTTACAATTTGATGAAGAGGTCATATTACGAGTTCCTACCCGTGAGGATTCCAAGAATTGGAAGTGGAAAACCGAGGCTCTCACGTTGAGGCAGCATCACAAGCAAGGTAATCGACGTGAAAGAGGCAGGAGTCAAAAGTCTACCGCAACTACAGCTGCAGAACAACGTCCGATTGGGTGGCTCGACATCAAGGTTGCGGCGAATGCTACCATCTCGTATGATATGGATATGGTAGCCAAGTCAACCGGATATACGAACACTCTAAAAATCGATCTTCCCACGACTGAAGTGTCGACTAGCGTAAACCATGGGCTCTTGTGGCGATCTGGGCGCCAGCAGATTTCCTGTGACTTGTCTACGCCTCTAAAATGGAATGGCCTCCGTACTTGGCGTTTTGACATCGAGGGTGACGGGCTCGAGCTTTTCATTCTGAGAGATCATATATTCTTGCTCATTGACCTCATAGACGACTGGGGGAGCGGGCCACCTGCCGAATACCTTTTGTTCACTCCTTTTAGATACCTTCTTAACTTGCAACTTCTCAATCTGAAGCTTTATCTCAACGTCAATGATGTGAATATCGTCAACGATCCGATCAACTTCGAGGAGAACACGTATCTAGTCCTATCTAGCCCCCGTCTGGTGGTAGACACTTCCATACCATTAGATAACTATCGTCCCACGAAAAATGCGATACCTTTCAAAGTTACGGTCGACCCTTTACGCCTCGGCTTACACGTGCCACCATGGAACACTCAGGCGACGTTCCTAGCTTCGAAGGATATAGGACACCTTGAAAGTCTAACTATTCAAGGAAATTATAATTATAATGCAACGACTTCACCTGCTAATACCGACACGCTTGTCCTCGATGTCTCCGGCCAGTCCCTCACCGCTCGCATCTATGGCTTCCTTGTTCGTTATTTCTTACAAATGAAAGATAATTATTTTGGCGACAACATCCATTTCAAGACACTAGATGAGCATCAAGAAGGGTTACGGGCCAAAGGAGCGGATCAAGATGCTCAGCCTGAGGATCGTCCTCCGCATAAAAAATCAAATGATCTAGATGTGATACTGAGCATTCGCGCTGATGACCCCAGGCTTTTTCTGCCTGCTAATATGTACTCTGCAAAGCGTTTTATACCAATCGAGGCTGCCTCTCTGGCCCTTGATCTTCGATTCACCAATTACTATATGGATCTTGATCTATCTATCAGCCCCCTAAGTCTTTCCCTCGGGGGCGAGGAAGAAGGCGGCACCAGCCCAATGAGTGCTATACCGAGCACTCAGCTCTTCATTGATGGCTTAGATATCCATGGGCACCGTTTGTTTGGCTTACCACCTATTGAGCCAACCTATCTCTGCAATTGGGACCTAAAAGCTGGGTCCGTCATTGGGGATTGTTCAACCGATTTTCTGACTACTCTCATAAGAGCAGGTAAAGCATTTGGCTTTACGCTTGATGATGACGAGAACGCGCTGATTCCACTCTCTTCTATTGTGGTGTATGATGTAACATTCTTGCGTGTCTTTGTTGAGTCAGTTCAAGTTTGGGTACACGTAGATGAGGCGGCGTTCTTGTTTTCCACTGCGGCAGTCGATGTTCAATTTAATGACTGGGCGCGGACACACTACTCAAGGCGTGCAGATATAAAGGTGCCCAATCTTGAGATTGCTTGCGTTAACTCGGAATCAGCAACGAGACATAGGTCACGGCCCCGCTCTCATGTTGATACGGACGTCTTCCTCCGAACAAATGTACATTTTGCGCTTATTGGGCGCAAGTATGATTTTGCACAGGAGAGGCTATTACAACAGGAACTTATACGCCGCCATGACCAACGAACGCACCGGACAGACTTTTTGCTACTTCCAAGCCTTCTGAATGACTTCGCGTCCGATCATGTCGACAACCCAGCGCAAAGCGTTCCCCCGGTTCCCCAGCCAGCTCTGTCTAGATCCGTTGCCGATAAAGCGTCTATATCATCTTTAGGCTCCTCAAATCGTTCTGCCAGGCTTCGCCATAAGAGCTCATTCCTTTCGTTAGCCAGCTCGTACAGCGGGAGCATTCTACGACCAGGCTCTATCAGGACCGCGCAACGATCCCGGGCTTCCGGCCGTACAGCCCTGAATTTTGTACCATTTAGAGATAGCGAATCTAAACAAGCCGTTCATTCCCGCGAATACTCAGGGCACTTTAGCGCCTATGGTGAGGCCGGGGATAAGAGAGAGCCGCCACATAGCAGCATAACCTTTTCAAGCCAATACTATGCCCCTTCATTTCCTCTACAGAACGTCAGACCAGACACCAAAGAAGCGACATTTCACAGTATTGAAGAGGACGAAAACGACACTTTAGACTCTTCAGGTTTTAGCTTAGACAGCCTGCCACCTGACCAACTAAATCAGAATTGTGCTCACCAGAGCTTGCTCCTCGAGCTTCCTTCCGGAATTACTGTCTTCCTTAACGCTCCATCTCTACGATCCATAGCGTCTTTGATACGAGCCTTACCACCTTCCGACCCGGAAGATATTCTTGATACTCTCCACATAGGAACAGTGACAGACATATTTGATACACAAAAACAAGAAGAAGTAAACGGGACTATTACTGATTTTGTCGTGCGGTTGCCGCAAGCAAACCTACGCTTCTTGAACTGTTCAAATGCCGATTCTACTGATCCGTCACAAGAGCCGCAAGATCAATATGATGTGTCACTCAAACAACTCGTGCTTGCTACTCGATCCGGATTGCCAGCCGACGTGGCCGACGGCAATGGAGATTCTCGGTTATCATTTCATTTCCGGCTTGCTTCATTGCAGGTCTCAGCTGCCGAGAGACTCGAAAACCTAGACCAGACGCAGGCTGCCATATTGGCCAAGATAGAGAGAGTTATGGTGTCTATGGGTACGAAAGATGTGAACTATATTGATGCAGATATAGGTGCTGTACAAGCTTCTTCGTCATCGAGCAAAGTGGAATACCTCGCTTCACTGATTCATCGAACGAATGTACTTGCATCAGAGACGGGAAAGCTTTTCTCGGAAACTCTTTCGGTTGCAGAAGAACGCTCGAAACAATTCACGTACCATGTCATAAGTAAAGGGCATAATGCGAGCGATGCTTCTTTTGTCGTTCGACCCTCAGCTATCCTACGGACGGCTTCCAAGCACCTTAGAACCTACGATTCTTGGAAACTAGTTACACGGTTACGCCAAATGTGGTCCGCTCTGGATGGCGATACTAAAGAAAACCTAAGACGAGACTGTCTGTTTGGGTTTTCTCAGTGTCCTGCCGACATGAGACAAGAAGTCACAACAGCTTTCGAGCGATGGCGCAGTTGGGATCTTGAGGATCCGAGGCATGCAGTGCTCTTAAACAACATTTTCGGCGAGATATCCAAGCCTAAAACTGACGCATCTAAACGAATTCCCATGATGGTCGTAGCAAGGATACAAGAAATTCAATTTCTGCTTGACCCTGGACCGAAACAGAACGAGGCTATTATAATAGATCTCACCTTGAGAGTCCAAGAGAGAAGTAATGGCATCGAAGCAATCGACGAGAAACCTGCCGATATTGGAGAGCCTCTGACACTTGTCAACGTGTACTGCAGCGAAGCTGGTCTCAAGGCTAACTGGGAGCTTTGCGAACTTGCAGATGACATCTTACGACTCTACAAGAATTCAGAGTCTTCAGTATCTGAAGAACCGCCACCTAAGCAACAGGACATAGCTAAACGCGTGTCGCCTCGTCCACTCCATGTAGTGTTTGTACTAGGAGATGGCGCAATCTCCCTAGAAGCTATTAATTTGAGTACCAGACTACAAAGCTCTGAGCTCAAGCTTTCAATACTTACAACTAGTGGCGCACAGGGTACTACAAGTTCAAACCTCATACTAGGCTTTGATTCGGTTTCTACAAGGGTTAAGAGCCACTCACAGGTGCTCGCCACTGCACGACTTCAACGCCCAAGCGTCATTATTGCACATGAAGTACAATTTAACGGACAGTCCTCGACACATACTATTAGGTCAGCGGCTAGTAGCCAGGATCTCGAGTTCATTGTGAAGCAGGATCCAATCGTGTTGGCCGAAGTTTTGGACTTACTAGTAAAGGATGAAGTTGCACAGCTATATGCTCTGGGGCAGAGATTCCCTTCATCTCCTGAACCCGAACAGGAGAAGCCCACAGCAGCAGGACGACTCTCAACGATCCAAGTCAATTTGGCTATGTTTCTAGACTCGTATACCATCTCGCTACCCTTGTTACGGTCTCTTACTTATACCATTTCCGGTGTCGTAGCGCGAGCGAATATGGCTGCTAACTTTGGCAGAGAGGTTATACTGGACTTTGATGTGAAGGAAAACTCACACAACATAGAAATCGAAGTCAATAATACACCACGTAGTATCTCCTTACTACAAATCCCCCCGACAAATGGTCGTATAACTAGTCACATGGCTCCAGGGGAGCACTCGATCACGGTACTGGCATCACTGGAACTTGTCAAATTGGACGCTTCGGCTGTCTATAGCTTGCTTACCGCACTCAATAGACCCGAAATTTCAAATGCTATCAACGATCTTCAGGAGCAAGGCAGAATAATAAAAGAACATGTCAACGAAGTCTTCGGCTCTCCCAGGCTCGAGCCCGAAAAGCCAGTCTCGCCAGTATCTAGCAGTTCAAAGCTCACATACTCTGTTCATGGTAGCCTTGCTGGACTTGAGATATGGGGTAATGCACGGATCAAATCAGACACAGAACCATATGCGCGTCTATCGTTTTGCTTAGATGCTGTGCAAATGCAGCTTACTAACAAGATAGATGGGGGCCCAATCCTAGAGAACCCCGAGATACATATCAACCTTCACCAAATAATGTTCAACATTGAGAAGGGCTCCGAAGAAAGTATGAGATCTTGCGGCAATCTCTCCCTTGGCGCGTTAATCACCGCCACAAGCCGCGAATCTGAAGATGGGATAGAGCTGAGATCTTTTGACTTCAAGTCTAACGGGTTTGAGGTGAACCTGTCGTCGGATACCGTGTCGACATTCGTAGACGTGCTTGGCTATATGGGCGACAAGATCAAAGACCTCGACACATCACGCGAACTAGAATATTTACGGAAGTTAAGACAGTCAAAACCCCGTATTGCCATTAATGATGAAGAGCAGGACACGGAAAGCGATATATTAGATTCATTCCTTTCCTCGATTATGTACTCTTTTGAAATACGGAATATACAATTCTGTTGGCTTGTCTCTACTCTAAATCAACCGACAATCGGTCAAGAGGACCTAGTCTTATCCTTTAAACGAATCGAATTCGCTACGCGCAAGAAGAACTCGGCGAAGCTCACTATCGAGGACTTTCAACTACAAATGGTTCCTCCAGGCCAGGACAAGTCTTTACGCTCTCTCAATTCGGCGCTCCTACCAGAGGTAATATTTAACATTGCCTTTGTCTCGACGGCAGACGCTCGCCGGCTAGCCTTCCAGGCAGTAGGTAAATCGTTAGATTTACGATTAACCTCCGCTTTCATCGTTCCGGCAGCACATCTCCAGGACTCTATCAGCCTATCGGCAAAGAATGTTCAGCGAGCTTCGGAGCACTGGGCGCCAATAGTTATGCCAGAGAAGGAGGTCTCCCGACCAGACCAGACTGTGGAGACGAGACGCTCATTATTCGGGAGCAGGAGATTAGAATCGCTTTTGATTGACGCTGACTTTGCCGGAGCTGTGGTGCACCTCACTGGGAAGAAATCATCAGACGAATCCAGTAGCTCGAGGGATCGTCCCGCACTAGCTGGCAAGTATGGCCAATTTAGCACAGACGAAACCGGCAGCAGCATGGTGCTTCGTACCCCAGGCCTGGCCTGGAAGACAGAATATAGAGATAACGGCCAAGAAGACCCAACCCTATATGGAGAGGTTAAAGTCGATCCTTCACGCAACATTCTCTACCCAACTATCGTCCCTCTTATCATGGATATTACTTCTAGCATTAAAAAGGTTGTAGGTGACGATACGTCCGAGTCACCAGTATCACCACAAATGCCAAGTGAAGATTCTGTTAAATCAAAATCTAATAGCGACGACAAACCAAAGTCTAATAATGAAGACAATATTCTCACTGCCGATCCGAGCGCCGTATTAGGACGTGTGAAGTTAAATTTGGGTCTACGCATTTGTCAACAGGAGTTTACTTTCAGTTGTCAACCTATCGGTCGTGTTGCTGCCACGACCCGCTTCGACGATATCTATATTACTATGAATACTGTCCACGCGGTAGAGCAAGGCAACTTCTTTGCCATCTCGGGTACTTTCAGCGGATTCCATACGTCTGTGCAACACGTATACTCACGAGAGTCTACGGGTAGCTTTCAAGTCGAATCCATCGTGCTCTCGTTAATGAATAGTAAGCACGTTAGTGGTACAAGTGGTCTCTCCGCCATTTTGAAGGTCAGCCCGATGGAGGTGGCGATCAACGCCAAGCAGCTTCAAGACTTCCTACTATTCCGAGAGATCTGGATTCCAGGGGAAGTCCGGCAAGGTACAACAGCACCTGTTGCGACGGTAACGACAGAAACAATTGCGCAAGCCCATCTTGTACAAAGATACCAGCAAGTGGCCGCCACAGCAGCATTCCCGTGGACAGCTACTATCTCAATCGAAGCCCTGAATGTTGTTGTCGACCTCGGACAATCCCTCGGCAAATCCAAATTTGCTATATCTGAGTTCTGGGTTTCGTCAAAGAAAACTTCAGATTGGGAGCAAAATCTTTGTCTAGGGTTTGAAAAGATCGGCGTGGACTGCACCGGTCGACTGAGTGGATTTGTTGCTCTCCAAAAATTCAAACTACGCACGTCCATCGAATGGCCAGAACGCGAGCAGGCATTGAACGAAACGCCGAGGATTCAAGCTTCAATCAGTTTCAGCCAGTTCAGACTTAAAACTGCATTCGACTATCAAGCGTTCTTAGTCGCAGATATTACGACTATGGAATTCCTTATGTACAACGTGCGTGAGGAGAGAACAGCCTCTGGTGACAGACTTGTGGCGATTCTTGATGGAGAAGCCGTACAAGTATTCGGCACCACCACATCGGCAGCTCAAAGCGTTGCCCTATGGCAAGCTATCCAGAAGCTTATACAGGAGAGAAAGGCAAGCTACGAGACGTCCTTACGAGATATCGAAAAGTTCATGAAACGGAAATCAATCACGAACCAACCGCCTGCTCAACAGATCATCCCAAGCAAACCTCAGACCGACAAGTCAGACATGAAGTCTCCTATATCCCTCAACACGGATGTGGTGGTGACGCTAAAGGCAGTTAATCTCGGCATCTTCCCCAGCACATTCTCAGATCACCAAGTCTTTAAACTAGAGGCTCTTAATGCACAGGCAAGATTCGCCGCGAGCATGCAAGACAAACGTATTCATAGCATCCTAGGCATGACTCTCGGACAACTGCGCATAGGTCTCGCAGGTGTACGTAGAGTCGAGGCGCCCAAGGCAGTCAGCGAGATCTCGGTAGAAGATGTAGTCGCAAGCGCCACGGGGTCAAGAGGCGGCACTATCTTAAAGGTTCCCAAGGTCGAAGCTATGATGCAGACATCTCAGAGCCCGGAATCCCGCACCATCGAGTACATATTCAAGAGCTCGTTCGAGGGCAAGGTGGAAGTGGGATGGAACTACTCACGCATCAGCTTCATCCGCGGCATGTGGGCGAACCACACCAAAGCCCTCGCGCAGACCTGGGGCCGCGAGATCCCAACCATGTCCGCGATCAAAGTGACCGGGGTTCCCGAGGCGGAGCAAGAGCGCAAGGAAGGCGGTGAAAGGCAGAAGATCACGGCTGAAGTCAATGTTCCGCAATCCAAGTACGAATATGTAGCTCTCGAACCACCTGTTATCGAAACGCCGCAACTCAGAGACATGGGCGAGGCTACGCCGCCGCTAGAGTGGATTGGGTTGCATCGAGATCGGCTGCCGAATCTTACACATCAGATTGTTATTGTCTCGCTGCTAGAGCTAGCAGGCGAAGTCGAGGATGCATATGCGAAGATTCTCGGGTCGTCGTAGGGAAGAAAGAAACCCGAAAGAAATGAAAATGGAAAAGGGAATAATTACCTACCTAAGTAATGAGAATGTATTATACAACAGGAGAGGTGGAGATGGGGAAATATCGTCGTCGTCGTTTTCTTTTTTGTCAGCATGCATGGCATGGCATAGCATAGCAGGGCGCAATAGATAAAATATTTTTTTTTATTCGTTTCGGAAATGGGGAATAGGAGTCTATGGGAAGATATATATTTAGGTACTTATATATACTCAGGTACCCAAGTGCCTACCTATAGTTAATCAAAGTTGGTATTCCAGGCGTAGATAGTATGAGTTTTTTTTATATTATCCCCCAAGCCTAGGCTCCTATAATGCAGGTTATTAGGAAATATAAATACACACACATATACATATATTGAAAACTCTCTCGATCGTGTCAGTAACGTTCCATACCGTGATCTATAAGACGCGTAGGAGATAAGTTGCCTGATACTTTAAATAAACTACGTAGATTATTCCTGAAGAATCTCGTTCGTGAGCAACCTGCCTTCTTTTACGAGAGACGGTTAAAGGGTTTACATAGGAGCATACGAACATATATTCCATAACTAGGTAGGTACCTACCTTAGAGAAATTATACATTAACTAAGGACTTTGAAGAACTTTCTGGGCTACCTTTATACTATCATCTACATAGCATGGCTCCTGGGATATACGAAACCTGACTTTTATAATTCAAGTATGGTCAGTATTAGATATTTAACGTGTATTTGTGTCCTTCTAAGTTATTCTTTTTTCTATACTTGGCTAAGAGTTGTAAGATTGGGCTATAAGATACTAGGTAGAAATAGCCATGATTCAAGGGGTTATCAAATCACACACCAAAAAATATGCTTATTATCACTTCACAAATCGCAAGATACATCAAAATCATTTAAATTCTTCATCTCGGTTGTGTCGAAAGTTACAGGCAAACCAGATGTATGACAGCTAATGAAAGTTCGGCCCTCAGTGCCTTTGCATAGCTTTTCTGTATCCACGGCCGCAGGTCATTCCTTTCCGACCTTTTGATGAAAGGCCGCATATTATATCCATGCGACGGACCCAACTAAAAACGATCCGAGCCGTCTCATGATATCCGCCAATAATGGCACTAGGTCGTAGTCTATAGAGCATCGAGGGAACTTGTTTATAGCTTGTCGTAGTACTATTGTTTATTGTTAGCATATGGTAAACTTCATGAATTGAAAGGCTTTCACTTACGTTGCTGACATCCGGTACTTCGACCTTGATACCCTTGCGCTTTCGCATTGTCTCGACGATTTGTCCGACCTTTGTGGTCTTGTCGAGGGGAGATCCACCAGGTAGTAATTGCCAGTGGTCGAAGACGAGTTGAGGGAAAGCCTGGCCGGATGTGGCTTGTCGGAGATCGCCGTTGAAGCCGAAAGACTCCATGATGGGTAGGTAGGCCTTGATTGTGAATAGAGGAGTACCAGGACGTTGCTCCTCGTTGAAGACGTGACCTCTTCTTCGGGTAAGGACACCGTAGACACCACCCATAGCTTGCTCGGGGACCTGGATTTCTACCAAGTAGACAGGCTCCATGAGAGCGGGCTCAGCAAGTAGCGCAGCAGCGTACAGAACACGTCGGGTAGTGGGGATGATCTGACCACCACCACGGTGGATAGCATCGGCGTGGAGGGTAACATCGAGGATGTTGAATCGGACGGCTCGCATCGGCTCCTCGGCAACGGGTCCTTCACGGGAAGCCCACTGGAAACCGGAGACGACAGAGTCCTTGATTTCGTTGAGGTACTGTACGGCCTTGGTCTGGTCAACCAGCAAGTTGGCACCGACAGTATCGGGACCGAAACACCAAATCTTTCGGGCATCGGTGACATCCCAACCGAAGTCGTCAGCTAGGATACGGGCACGAGCCTTGAAATCGTCACGAGGTCCGATCTTGCCCTCCTCGATCGTCTTGGCAAGCTCCTCGTCGATCGGCTCAGCAACCATGTACAGACGGTTGTGCTTGTTGGGGGACTTGGACAGAGCAGTGATGCTGGACTTGCCAGCAACGGTCTCTCGGTACTGGACAACGGGGTCGGAGATGATAAGGGGAACACCAGCGTGGTCCTCCTCGAGATCCTTCAAGCAAATCTCAAGATGCAACTCACCAGCACCAGCAACAACATGCTCACCGGACTCGGAAGTCGTGGTCAAGACACAAGGGTCAGACTTAGACAGACGCTTAAGACCTTCGACAAGCTTGGGAAGATCCTGAGCGTTCTTGACCTGAACGGATCGCTGGACAACAGGGGAGACGGAGAACTTCATGACCTTAAGGTTGTGGGCAGTGTCCAGAGTGGTAAGAGTACCAGACTTGAGAAGGAACTGGTCGATACCGACCAGACCGACGATGTTGCCAGCAGGCATGTCGTCAATGGGCTCGACCTTGCCGCCCATCATCAGAACAGTACGCTGGATAGCCTTGACGAACAAGTCCTCCTTCTTTCCAGGGGTGTAGTTGGGACCCTGAATGCGGACCTTGAGACCGGATCGGACGGTACCGGAGAAGACACGACCGAAAGCGTAGAAACGACCCTTATCGGAGGTCGGCACCATCTTGGAGACGTAAAGCATAAGGGGACCCTTAGGATCACAGTCTCGGATACCAATGGCAGCCTCGTCATCAGGGGGACCCTCGTACAGAGTCTCGGCACGGTACCTCTGGGCGGTAACGGGAGAGGGAAGGTGGAGAATCATCATTTCCAAGAGAGAGTCGGCAGCGGGAAGGAAAGTTCGCATGACAGCCTTGAGGAGCTGCTTGCCCTCCTTATCCCGGTCCTCGCTGGTAAGCTTGAGGTCAAGCTTGGAGAGTAGGGTGGTGATCTCGTCCTTCTTGGCGTGGTTCACAGCCGCAAAGATCTTGAAGATAGGGTCCAAAATGAACTGGTTGAAGGCACGCTCTAGGGGCTTGCCATCGTGGGTGCTCTTGGTAGTCCACTTCTTGGTAGCAGCGTTGAAGTAGTTGTCACCCTGGTTAATTAGTTAGTATTACACTAGGCGAAGAGAACGATAGAAAATTTTAATAATGAAACTTACCCATAGACGCTCCATCATCTTGTTTCGGTCAACACCGAACTTCTTGGCGTATCGGACGGCGAATTGGCGGATGGTGAAAGCCCAGCCGTGGAGACCGGAACCGAAAGCGACAGTACCCTTCTCGGGGTAGACCTGGATGTCACCCAGAGTCTTGTCGAGGTAGGTGGAGATGATGACGTTAACGGACTCAATTGTTCGGGAGAAGGACTGGTAAAGATCCTCCTTGGAGACCTGCAGCTCGAGAAGAGCACGGTCGACCTTGTTGATGATGATAACAGGCTTGATTCGCTCAGCAAGAGCCTGTCGTAAGACAGTCTCAGTCTGGACACAGACACCCTCAATGGTGTCGACGACGACGAGGGCACCGTCAGTGACACGCAGGGCAGCGGTAACTTCGGAAGAGAAATCAACGTGACCAGGCGAGTCGATCAGGTTGATCAAGAAATCTCGGCCATCGGCCTTCTGGCCAACGATGTCCTTTAGGTCATCGTCGTTGGGTAGGTTGCCGTACAGAGAGATGGCAGTAGACTTGATAGTAATACCACGCTCCTGTTCGTCTGCTCTCGTATCCGTAGCTCGGGCATCACCAGCTTTCGCGGTGGAGATGATACCGGCTTTGGCCAAGAGAGAGTCTGTCAGGGTAGACTTGCCATGATCGACGTGGGCAATGACGGACATGTTACGGACATTGGTAGGCTTGTCCATCAGTAGCCTGATCTCGTCGATGGTGAAGCTATTCGGAAGCGCATGTTAGCTCTGGCCATAGATGGACGTAACGGAAGCTTATCTCCGGGGTGGGGTGATTTTGGGCATCATGAAGGTGATAGAGGAGATTTCTTAGGCGCGTAAAGTAGTGACGATGAAATGAAATAAGATGAAGCTATATTATGATAGCTAAAGTAAATGCGATGAGACTTACTTGACCATCTTGGCGGTATTGATGCGAAAAAAACAGCTATGTGTTGTTTTTTTCTAATCAACTGGTGATGGATGAAAGCGGGGTGAGATTTGTGTCGATGGAAGTGGCCTTATTGCACTTCACGGTCGATACAAATCACCAGCGAACTCTTCTAGAGAGTATCGAATAGTAAAAAGTGGTAAGAAGGGAAGAGAAACGAAGCTTTCAGTGCAAAGTCGCAACCACCGACGACCAGCTTGTTCTTGCTTCGAGGGAAAGGAAAATTTGTCGGGGCAGAGTTGGGAAGGAGGGGTACAAGAGGAGAAAATTCACAGGCGGGCGGGTTAAGCGGGGCAATGCTTATCCATCCAAGAAATTTGGTCTGCAAGTGACATCAATTTTTGTACTGTCTGACCTGTGTGTGGTAGGTATATTTTTTGTGGTCTAGTGGGGCAACAGCCATTCCTTCCTTTCCTGTAGCGGCAAATTCACGGGTCAATAATCAAACGGGATAAAACAAATTCAGTTTATCGAGGGTTCTAGCCCTCTTGTTTTTAACCCTGTTTGACCTACTATTATTAATACGACTCACCTAAGATAAAGTTTACATACATACAGTAATACCATAGTACTTAAGAAGGCAACTAAACGAAATAGCGAAATAGCAAAACAGCATTAAAACATTCGTATTCAAGCTAGTTACAACATACGATATTTAGGTCCTGTGACGGTATGAACTTTACACCTTTTTGGAAAGTAGCTAAGCTACCCTGTGCGGGTATTGTGGATTTCATATTCCGATCTCTTTACGGTATACATACACGCCTTGATCCATGCTTCTATTCGGTGTGACTATCCATTATGCAAGAAACATGGGGAACATGAAGCCATGCATGTACGATCTTCACAATTTATACTATAGCTTAGCTGTTTGGTCTTTATATCGTGAAAGAGACCCGAAATCTTCCAATGGCCGTGAGGCAATTATTGGGCTGATATTAAGTAGTGTGTCAAATATTTACCATAGCTTGCTTATACTAAAAAAGCTGGACTACCTAGTTATCTCATTTTCAAACTTTACTGTGCTGAGTATGCTAGCAATCCTAGCAAAATCCATTTATACTTAGATGATTGGACACCCGATGAGTCAAGTAAATTAGTTTGCCTTAATTTGAAGTTACTGCGTATAACGCCACAGCTACATCTTGATCTAGAACCATCATACTGGGTCTTTTGGATAAGCTTGTATGCCAGGGGGTTGTGTTAGGGCAAAATGCCCTTACTGCTAAAAGGAAAAAGCCTTACATATCCGAGCTGCGGATATCGCAAAGTAAAAATATAAAATGTGCGACGGCATATTGTCGTAGTATTTGTTAGATCCGACGGCTCCGACACTGCCGGAGCATTTAATGTGTCTTTTGGATGTTGTGATGAATGGTTCGAGTAGCTGATACCTTCGTATTTCCAACGGGTAGCAATCCGGTGAAGATTGCCGGATCCCGGAGAAGCGTCTCCACTAATTTTGACACGGAGGCCCGGAAGCGGGGCAATTCGGCATCGCATCACAAAAGGGGTCTACGAAACGATATATATATAAAACACTATTAATAAAAGGACATGAAAACGCAACGAAATTCTTATGTGTAAATCAGCCGAAAAGTATTTAAACAGCAGCATAATTGCATTACCTAAAGCTCCATCACCATATCTATATCGCACATGGAAACAACGTTATACCGTACCACAAAACCACCCTCCAAAACAACCACCAACCGCACTTATTAGCCTTAAGCATAACCCTTTCTCTATACTACACCTATCCCGGGCCATAAACCCCTTAGTATAGTATTGCATCGTTTTCACCAGTTATGGACAATTAAAACCTGGCATATGTACAAACAATCTCTAAACTATCTTGCCGTGGTGATCTGATTGGATCCGATCTGCAATCGCAGAAAATTACTCATAGGTAGTAGGTATAGGTATCTTTCTTTTGCACTCCCATATTCACTGCCAAACTACGCCACTATCGCCACCCCACGCCCGACAAAGTATGATTTCTCCTAAACTATCTACGTCGTCGACTGCGTCCGTGACTGCGGGTTCTACTCCTTTCCATAGTTCCACTAACAGCTTAAAATCAATAGCTGCGCGGCACTAGGCGAAACCATCAACTAGGATCTCAGCTACTTCGCGCACGCCATCATCGGGTCCTTCTTCCCCAATCGTACTATAAGGTAATCAACACATGTAACACCTCTGATCACTAACCAGCGAATCGGAATCGTGCTCCCTCCAACGCCCCTAAGCCGTCTCGGGGCGCAACGTATCTCCTTCGGTAAGTGTTGGTGAAGTCTTGGAGAATTGATCGTATTTGTCGTACGTCGCCCGTATCATTGGTGCTAAGCTTCTCCTTGATCTTCGTCATGAGACGATCTACCTCCGTGGCTGAGACGGTCCCCTCAGGTAGCAATCGGAGCGTTTGGTCCACCCACGCTGCCGTCTGATCAGGTAAAATCTCGAATAGTGTTAGCAGGGCACCACTAGCATCAGCAAAACAATCTTTCGGGAATGTGATCATCATGCCAGCGAGTAATCGCTTGATTAATGTCTCCCCCTGGGCTAATAGGAGTTGCTTCACGAGAACCTTTAGCTGTTCAGCTACTGGGGCCGACATATTGTCGTATGACGGAGGCGAAAATGCGGTACCCCATCCAAGAACATCTCGGATATAATGAAGAGTAGCAGACAAAGGCTCGCGTTGCTCTAAGACGAGAACGGAGAGGGCGGCTTCGAACACGGGACCGAATATCGATGATGGGATAAATTTCTGAGGGTAATACAACAATCCGTCGACAACCAGGCGGAAGAAATCCTCAGTCACATCCGGGAGGTCTGTCGGTGATAGCGTGCTGAGGAAACGGAGCACATTTGTAGCTTGGGCCTCGAAGAAAACGTATATATGCTCTGTCATAGCCTGTTCCACGTGCTCTCGATCATCGGAGAACTCTCGCAGAATAGCACCAGTGACCCATAGGAAACAGCCTTGTTTCGACGTGGCGAATCCACTCGCTAGCTGATTTGCCATATCTGGGAGGATTGGTGCCATGGCTCCCCTATGGGCAATCACCATGAATCTCCAGCATCGACAGATTCTTTCGCAGATTGGGGTAAAGTCAAGGAAATTTTCCAGGATCTTTGACAATATCGGGAAAACCTCTTGCCAATATTTCACTGCGGGATCTTCCTGACCTAGCGGGACAGGGGGTAGGACCACGACGCACTGGGTGAAGAGTGTAATCAACTGTAAATGGTCAGCAACTGCTAGCTTCTTCTCTTTGTCTATCGCATTGTTGGCCTTGGCCATCAGCCTCTGAACTAAGGGGTCGCAGAAGAGCTTGAGCAGTTTGAATATCTCTTCCGGCGGCTGCACTGATACTACCGTCGCGACGCCTTCGGTGATCTCTTCTTGGCTAAGCGTAGGAAGTTTATCTAGAACTTGATCGTAGAATTGTTGAAGTTGGACGATCTGGTTCCTGAGGAGACTTCTGCAATCCATACAGAAATATTTGATCGCCATAGCGGCGGCTCCCATAATCTCTTTTGAGTTTGTGTCAAAAGAAGAAACGATATAGTTAAACTGGGGACTGAGAAAGTCTGGGTGAGCAGCTGTCCACTCTGTGTATCTACCCAGCACCATGATTGTCGCAAAACGTAGCTTCTCATGAGCTGGCATTTGTACTAGGAGGGGCATGAGTTGGGGTAGAACGGTTTCCTCGTCCTTGGTAACCATACGGCCCATCGCTCGCATAGAGAACAACGGAGCTTCTAGCTGTTGCCAGTGGGGGACTGAGGCACCGTTCGCCAGGCCCGCGTATTTTTGCATCCAGACCTTGATAGCATCAAGAACCTTTGCTAGACACTCGGAAACGCCCATGATCTCGCAACAGTCCTTTAAGGTATCTCCCATGTGGTGTCGGAACTCACGGAACTTCTCTTCTGCTTCCCTGTCTCCGTCAAACAAATCCTTTTCGTTACCAGACACCGAGTCAGGATACTCGAGATGTTTAAGGAGAATATCGACAACTTTCGCATATACGTCCACGAGATCTACACGGGACTGTATATACTTATCTAGTACAAGATACTGCTTAAGTTCGTACCAGAATTCGAAAGTGTATTCGATAACTTCTCTGTCTTTATCTCTTGCGGCGCACTCGAGAATGGCATCGACAAGGGCTCTGAAATGACTTGGTTCCCGGGCAATGGCAACGGCCCACGAAGAACCGGCCTCGCCCAACAGCCTGGTGAGAGCTTTGTATGACTCGAAATCTTCTTCTTCGGCCACTTTTTGAATCTTGGGCTGCAAAGCAACAACCCGCGGTAAAAGTACCTGGATGGTTTCTATGTTGTCATCTATCTCCCTAGTCTCTCTGACCATAGTACAAATGCACTCGGCAGCTGCTGTGAAAGAGACATCGCTCTCAAGGGCATTGAAAACAATGTTTAATAGAGGGGATTTGACGATCTCGTTGATAGGAACCTCGCGTAGCCAGGACGTTATGCATTCAAAAAGTTGAGGATTTGTCGCAGCCACCGCTATCCCCATATATTAGCAGTGTTTATTATAATGCTGGATTGAACTTACGCGATGAATGGGCATAATTAATCAGGAGTTGCACCACTTGTGGAGCATTTCCTTCTAATAACTCGGCGGTTCTCAACGTGAGCTCTTCATCCTAGACGTTAACCCATTAGACTTCTTATTCATTTCGAACCGCAACGGCGATAAAACATCTCCATAGGAGAAGAGGGCAGGAGATGTGCTGAAATAGCCTCGAGTTACGTACTGTTAGGGTAATTTTTCGCCCCTCGGTCACCTCTTCTGGTAGAACCCTAAGGAAGTCCAAGATGCAGGCATGGCTTTCGACATCATCGCCGAGGGATGACACCACAACAGGTAGCACGTCTTTCCAATCTTGCATCTGTATGGCTAAGATTGCTAGACACACACATAGTTGTACCCTGATCGGCTTCGGCCCTGGCGCAAAACGTTTCAAGAGCGCTAACAATTGAGATCTCACGGCTGGGATCTCAGGCGCGGGTACTTGGGTTGACAGGTCGTATGTTATCTTGTAAAGTGTTGTTCCGTCAGCTTCGCCGTAGGCTACGGTATAAGATCTTGTGCTAGACTAACCTTCCCTCTCAGTGTCGTCGCTGCGAATAACTTGATGTCCGCTTCGGCATTTGACTGTAATATCGTGATGGTCGTGGTCCATGCTGCCGACTATAACCCGTATCAGTAACGACGTACGATGAGAACTATGCGATAAAATGCGGCTATATACTGACCGATTTCTGGAAGAGTTCTAGATATTCATGGGCTTTCTTCTTCTTATCCGAGTCCCCACCCCGCATAGTCAGCATAGCCTGGTGCACCTCATCGGGTCCGAAACCCTGCTGCGCTCCGTTCGCAGCCATGATGCGCAAATATCGATTAGGTCGACGACCGTGGGGTGGGCACGCAGGTTAGGAGGAGCAGCGGCTGTCAGTTTAAAATCGGTCGCAAGTTCAGTGGATTGAAGAATAAGAATTATTATCGAGATGATGCACCAACGCCGAGGAATGCACCAGATAATACAGCTGATTTAAGAGGAAACTTATAAGGAGTTTAAATTTCTCAGCGAGGTTTGTATGCGCAAGAATTTATTATACGTGTCGGCGTAGAAAGAAAGAGGGGCCAAAATAAGAAACATCAATCAGTGCTTTGCGGTTGCCATGTGAGCCTGAAAAAGTATGGAGCTTGCTTCGTTCCGTGGCTTCCAAGGCTTGAACGGAAAAAAAGATAAGGTTTGGAGGGGTCAAATGAGGGTCAAATATGAATTTGTGGCTGAGTTAGAAGCTATCCGTGCTGAGTCCAATTAAAGTGGATCGATTGTTAAAGTTCTAATGTTCCACTTAGCTTGCCAGTTACAGCTACCTCAGCCTTCTTTCTGCCTCGTCTAATTTATTACTACCAAAAATCAAACAAGATACGTCAATAGTCAATACGCACACGCGCCATTGTTGTACTTTCCGATTCCACGTCTAGCCAACATACCAACAAGGAACATCTAGTACTAACTCACACTCAAACATATCAAGATGACCGGTCGTGGCGGCGGTGGCGGGCGCAAGATCTTGCTTCCTCCTATCAACTTCATCTTTAAGCTTCTCCAGACACACGCGACTGTCAAGATTTGGCTGTACGAACAATTGTCAATCAGAATCGAGGGTAAAATTAGGGTGAGTCACTGGCTTTTCTGTTTCTTCTTATATCTATTTGCTCCTACTAACATCCGTTTGTCCAGGGATTTGACGAATTCATGAACCTTGTTATTGATGACGCGATCGAGGTAAAGCAAATCACAAAAACAAATACAGAAGAAAAGAGAAGACCTTTAGGTATGACTATACAATCGGAGTTAGTGTTATTCTACGTGATTGACGATTTTATAGGACAAATTTTGCTAAAGGGTGACAACGTGTCGTTGATCCAAGAAGCCGTATGAAAAGGTTAAGAAACGATTGGAGTCGGGGAATTTATTAGGGACTACGCTTATATTATATCCACGGCGATACTATTGCGGATAGGTAATCATGGACGCCCAAACTTGGTCAAGGTGTGCTCATTTTAGTTTGCGTGGCTGTTATTCGCAGACTCTTTGATTTGGCCATCTCCGAGAAAGAGGCCATCTATTGGTTGATCATGGGGTCCAACCGGAACAGATTCTCCCGAAGACGGGGAGAGAAGTTGTTCCTTCAAAGCTAGAGCATATAACAATACAGCTGGTCGACCATTCCGTGTCTTTTCTTCGGGTGAAGCAGCCAATGCATATCGATGGAGAAAATAGTCGTAGAAACCCTTGCCATGACCTAGCCTTCGGATGACTTTAGATTGTGGGTCGACATCGAAGGCAACACCGGGCATAAGGATTAAATCCAGCGAGATATCCTCAGATCTTTTCCCATCAAGCTCACCCACACTTCGTTTTCTTTCATGCACCGTAGAGGCGTCAATACTCGGAATGCCCCACTTGTCTCGTTTTAGAGACTCGTAGTCTTCGACGTCTTTCAGACTTACCATGTCCATAAGTCTCGTCGGTCCATCATTTGGTTGTAAGCCGGATCTGTGTAAGTAAGGCACGAATACCTGCTTGCCCGAAGATAAAGCATGCCTAACAATAGGATCCGTCTGGATTTCTCCACCAGGCATAGATAGGTAGACCGCTACTCTCTTCGCATCAACGTACGGTTTGAATGTGCATAACGAATCGAAGACTCTTGTGCCTAGGCGGATGGTTAACCATGTATCTATATATGTATAATACTCTATTTTATGAAAAAGACTCACTCTGGGATAAGATGGATTCTTGCGAGAGGGTTGCGAGTCGCTGCTTCATTAAGGAACGAAGCTGCAATTTAGCAGCACTCAGAGCAGCAGAATTCATCTCCGGCTCTTGTGACATATTCTCAGTTATTGGAACTGAGTATAATCCGTACACAATCCCCACTGTAAGTTGTGAAGTCACATCTGTCATCTGACCCACGTTCTCCTGCGTTCAAATGAGACTCAAACTCTTCAGCAGCAAAGCGGCTATGCAGATAGCGACCGCAAATCGGAACTAATGTTGACCGAGCCCCACTAACAAATTAACCTAGGGCCTATGTAAGTCTGATCTATCTTACCTTAGGTGTGGCATCTGACACTTATTTACATACTACATGTAGGTAGCTTGCATTATTGGTGATGTTCAAATAATGGATCTATATTAGACAGATGACTCTAATATTGGTCAGGTGTTTTACTAAGTATTTTACTAAGTAATTTAGCACTGATTTATCTACCTCCTGCTTAGGTAGCTTCAGTTGCAAAGCTTACACGCTTAACCTAGGTATATGTACCTAATTTATAGAGCTTGCATAGAAATAATATACCTAATACTCCATGTATGTACATAACAAGGGCGAGCTAGTGTCTATATGTAATAATATACAGTATGTACGAATGGGAACATGGTTATATCATGCAGGTAGGGATTAAATACATATTGAGGTCATACATACCTCATAAATGCCACCCGAAGTTCGCTCTCCGTACAGTATCAAAATATTATCTTTTTAATCTAATCCATCTCAATCTAATCAATCAATCTCTTGATCGTACGACCGTGTGATCAATGGGATTTATCGGCAGAGATCCACTCAAGGGAAGGTTGATTAGTGGTTGGAGGAGTCTCCATGTTAGGCCGACTGCAGCGTACTGGATGCTGCTACATGTAGCTAGTATGCTCCGACCCTGTAAAGCCTGCAACTTCAAGGCTCTTCCCGCTTTGGATGTCACGGCCGCGGCTAACTTTTTTTTTCTTCCCTTGTCTCAATCCTCCTGTTGTGATACCAGGCTTAAAGCTCTTCCCACATACAAAGACTGGACTTCAACTCCGCCATCTTTAATTGGTGAATTAAGAAAAGGTATGTAAGGTACAACACTGCTAAATTCATTATGGTATGCTGAAGAAGAACTAGACGTAGCAATACATATGTAACTTTGCATATACATACACATGCATAGCTACATGTAGTTACATGAACGGTAGCAAGAGTTAATAAAAAAGTACATAGAGACCGGAGGTAGTATAACTCGGGTAGGGTTTACCTCCACTCTTTCCCGTTCAACCTCGACCTTTGAATAGCCCCAAATCCACTTTATCATTAATCCTATGTACAGTAGGCAAGTTACACTAATGACAAACTTTACCTAAGGTTACCTAAGTTTAGGTAGTTTGGTAGCCTGGTAGACTGGTAGCCTGGGCACTTTCCGGATAGCTCGTACAAATCCAGTTGCCCTTTCCGCGCGGGATGATATGACCCTTCGCAGCTGCAGCTACGTAAGGATAGACTAAAAAAAATGCCTGTTGTTCCCTCAAAAAGCAGGGATAATGGATCGCTTATGTCTTTAGACCCCCATAATGTCCACAATGACCACAATGACCACTCGCAGTCCTTCCCATTACGACCCATAAACACCAATGCTTCTACTGGTAGCTCCGCCCTACCCGTCGATGTCTCAAACCCCACGTCGCCAACCTCTCCTTATGATACAAATAGTACTACCTCCTTGTCAGGCTCGACAGAAGCTCCTATTAGAACTCTTCGTTCCCCGTCCAGTACGAGCCATGACTCCGACCACACTCGAATCCACCCTAGCTCTAGTCGTGGATCAAGGATCATGTCGAAAGCTCCCCTCTTGATCCGTTCCTCACCCGGGTTTGGCACGGGGTCATACGGAGCCGCTCCTATCCATCCCGAGATTAGGGATTCCGACAGCGATGGCGAAGATCTGGCGCCGTCAAGGAGACGAAGTAGTTCGGAAAGTTGCCGCTCCAGGAGGCGGTACTCTACCGACGCCAACCGCTCGGTAGGCATCAGGGCGAGCGTATCCTCTCTAAGCCGAAGAAGAAAGAGCTTATCCGAAGAGATCGGAGGGTCAACAGTAGTCGTTGGCCTCGAGGGTCGATTTGGTATTAGCGATACCTCTTTAACAAACGACTTAGCTCCGGACTCGACGTCAAGTAGCTCCGCTATAGGCGATGAAGACGGTTCCGACGATGCGAGCGAAGGAGACGACCCGGACCCTCCCGATAATTCACCTTACGCTCAAGTTCGAGCCTCTGTCTCACCAACCGATAATACCTCGTTATCTATAAACACTCCTCGCATGTGGACATTATCCACATTGTTCTCTATACTTGGTTCTTCCACAAATCTCTTCTTTTCCTTGAGATACCCCAGCGTTGCAATTACACCCGTCATAGCGTTGCTTCTTGTTCACCCCCTTGGTCTTTTGTGGGACTATTTTTTAAAACGATCAGACGATCCTCCAGAAGAGTTTGAGGCTGGAGTACGGATAGATAGGCTTACCTCCTCAAACGGCCAAGCGCCGACGACACCTAAGGAGAGAAGCCGTGCTGGACGCCTTCGTTTATGGCTTGCCCAGGGGACTTGGAATGAAAAGGAGCATAGCTGCGTATATGTGAGCAGTAATGTATCTTTCGGGTTTGCATTTGCAACGGACGTTATCGTTGAACAAACACAATTTTATAAACAAGATGTAGGCATTGTCTACCAGTTACTACTCACCCTATCGACACAGATCCTAGGTTATACCTTCGCCGGCCTAGCGAGACGGTTCCTGGTACGCCCGGCTGGAATGATCTGGCCTGGAACATTAATGTCCGCCGCAATGTTTGCCACATTGCATAAAGAGGAAAACAAGCCCGCAAATGGGTGGACGATAAGCAGATGGAAATTCTTCTTCATTGTCTGGATATCAGGCTTTCTCTTCTACTTCCTTCCCGGGCTATTAATGCCAGCACTAAGTTATTTTAACGTCATCACCTGGTTCGCTCCGGACAATGTCGTAGTGGCGAACTTATTCGGGGTTGTCTCCGGCTTGGGGCTCTTTCCGCTCACTTTTGACTGGGCACAGATCGCGTACATTGGGTCACCCCTCCTGACGCCTTTCTGGGCCGCAATGAATGTCATCGGCGGATTGGTAACGGTGATGTGGATTATCGCACCGATTGCGTATTATTGCAATTTATTTTATTCGTCTTATATGCCGATTCTCTCGGCGTCAGTGTTTGACAATACTGGGAAGATATACGATGTTAGCAAAATCTTAACAGAAGATTTTTATTTCGACAGAACAGCCTATTCGAATTATAGTCGGGTGTTTCTACCAATCACCTATGTCCTTAGTTACGGACTTCAATTCGCCGGGCTCGCGTCACTCTTGACGCATACTGCTTGCTGGCATGGCAAGGATATCTATGTACAATGGAAGCGTTCATTACAAGAAGTAGGGGATGAGGACAGGCCGGTGTATCAACCACTGGAGAGCGATACCAACGGCGGCACTACCAATCAACCCAACGTCACTAGGACTAGTTCCACCTTCGATAATATTTTGAGCCACGAAGATGTTCACAATCGCCTTATGAGGAGATATAAGGATGCTCCGATAACGTGGTATTTGTTGACGTTTATATCGATGACGGCGATAGGCATCTTCGTCGTCGAATAGTGAGTCTGCCATATCCTTATTTCAAATACTTCTACTTACACATGTATAGCTATCCGATACATTTACCATGGTATGGTTTACTTCTTGCTCTCGGAATATGCGCTGTGCTCTTTATACCTATCGGTATTGTCATGGCTGTAACAAATCAGCATAGCAGTATCTATCTTATCTGTCAACTTATCTGCGGTGTCATTTTTCCCGGCAGACCAGTCGCTAATATGGTCTTTGTGACCTACGGTTATATCTCGTCCGCCCAGGGCATCAAGTTCGCAGCAGACTTAAAATTGGGACATTACATGAAGATTCCACCGAGACTTCTATTCTCAGTTCAGATGGTCGCAACAATCGTCTCGTCAATCACGCAGATCCTCGTCCTCAACTGGATGTTCCGTAACGTACCTGGAATCTGCACGCCCTCGGCCATCAACGGCTTTACCTGTCCGATCGCCCGAGTCCACTTCAACGGATCCATCCTCTGGGGTGTCGTTGGGCCAGCCGAGTTTTTCGGTCCGAATGCAACTTACCGTCCTCTAGTATGGTGTTTTCTTATCGGAGCCATCGCACCGATCCCATTGTGGTTGTACGGCCGCAATAAAAAGTCCAGTATCGTTCGCAAGATCAACTTGCCTGTCCTCTTCGGGTCTCTTAGTTGGATCCCGCCAGCGACCGGGCTTAACTTTTCGGTCTGGGCTGTGGTATGTTATATCTTCAATTACTTGATCAAGAACCGTGCAACAGCGTGGTGGGCCAAATACACCATGACTCTCAGCGCGGCGTTAGATTCGGGTTTGGCATTTGGCATTGTTATTGTCTTCTTCGGGTTTATATACCCAGGCTGGATGGAAGGGTTCAGCTGGTGGGGAACGGATGTGTATAGACAAGGTTGTGACTGGCAGGCTTGCTCGTACAACACGGTTCCTAATGGTAGTCATTTCGGCCCAGATAAATGGTAGATTACGTCGTGGCATATATTACGATCGCGCAAGGCATGTATATGAAAGGTATGGATGGGATAGCATTAACATGGACGTCCATCGTCTGGAACATAGAGCTTACTTCAAAGAAGCTAGAACAAAAGGACACTATTTAAGTATGATGTTTTTAGTGGTGATTATATTATACGAGGAAAATATGAAAGATACTTGAAGAGCTATTTATGTACAATTGCCCGTGGGATTAGAAGCATGCGTTTAAGGTACTCGGTAAGTAAGGTACCTATTATATTTATATATGGTTCGTGATGATATACGTACGGAATTACCTATACCTATATCAAAAATAGTGTCTACTATCTACCTATGGGCCTTGGTTCATCTATGCGTATTCACGCACACAAAACGATGAGAATACTAAAGCGGAGCTAGTTAATCCCATCGACCGTCTATCCATCCATTCCAAAGAATTAAAAAAATAAAAAAATAAAAAAAAAGTTTGGTCATCCCACCGCCTCCGCGCACACGTTCTCATAGGGACCCCCCGAGATTAAAGAGCCAACCGATATAATCACTCGAGGACTACAAGTCTCAGATGATGCGTAATTAACCCCGAGGAAAACCCCATTCAAGCGTGCGCGCGCGGGGATTCGAACCCCGGTGTCTAGTTCAGGTAAATGTATGGTGGTCCATTCATACTGACTGTTGCGCCTCTGACCGCTTGGCCAACTCCTCAATTGTGCTTGGGAGAGCGGGAAGTGGGATATATGTGTGTGGTATGGCGGGGGAGGGGGGGGGGGGTTGGGGAAGGTAGGGGGGGGGGGGGTTGCGGAAGGTACGGGAGGAGGCGGTTGCCTGGTAACGGGGTGAGGGGTGCGACGGCGAGCTTGGTGATAAGGATTTTGGGATTGGGTGCCTGGCCCACTAGATTTTATGTGCACGAGTACATGGGGATGGTTACCCCACCATTTAAACGTGACTATATCATAGGTACCTAAACTATAAGCAGGTAAGCTTTAGATAAATATATAGTGTTAATCAGGGGCAAGACGTACATATGTAAATCAACCCCCTTTTCCAGGCATAACTTAAGTAGCTCTCAGAGCCGTTCCATACCGCCACTAATCTGTGAAATCATACCAGTCCCTCAAGTTTAGTCATTCTCTAAGGAATACTATTCCAACTTTATTTTAAGTCATATCTATTTCTGAGTCACGAGCAGGTTCAGAGTTCATAGACTGAGAAGTCACTTTTATCTAAGTCATTCCTCTTGTATTAGCCCTAATTTTTACCTCTTAATATATGAGCGAAAATAGACCTCTCTACTTACAAAATTTATAACACTAACCTAACCTTTGACACGCTCCATAGGACCTAGAAGTCATTATCGTGCCTCCCATAAGAATTGAACCCGACCTGATTAACAAAGGGCTAACATATGGTACTAATAAGAATCCGTCAATCGAACATTCAGGTTCCCTTAAAATAACATGCTTCCCAGAATAGAAAATATGAAGCTGTTTAGTCACCGAACAATATAATGATCTGATATTACCGACTTGACTGACTTCACTTCTTAGGCTCAATTGCTTTCGATACACTAGCGCCAGGCGCCTTGCCACTAGTTGGGGAAGTAGTATAAGAAGCCGGAATATTGTTTTGAACAGTCTGTCTAGCATCGCGGAATATCTCGTAGCAGTTAGCGAGGACCGCGTTGATGTCCTGATCGACAGGCACAAGGGCTGTGTCGACAATAGACTTTATGTGTTCCTCGAGCTTATAGAACTCATTCCTGTCTGAGCGATACCGGGCTGGCAGGCCACTATTGTGTAGCAAGGCGAGGATTCCGCCGACACAGGTGTTGACCGCGGCGATAGAAGTCTATTTACAAAAGTGTCAGTTCTACGGGAATTCTGACTGGAAGTGAGGGGGATAGCCTATAGATAGAAACTATACTATTTTCCTTGTGTTAGGGTGATATAACTGTAGAAATAACTTACGATTGCTGTCCCATTCTTCGACGAGGATACTGACCCAAGAGCAGTCAAAACGGCACCCATTGCAATCTGGAGAAGCATCAAGAGCCAACTGATGATATCCACGGAATGAAACTTGTACGTGAACAGGGTCTTTTCAGTGAGAACGTCTTGGTACAAACCATCTCTGAACCCCTTCGGCGGCCACAGCGTACTGGTTGGACGGATGACCTCTTCGCTCTCGTCATCCTTGAACACACCAACGCCTCTACAGAACTGAACCCATTCGTCGTGCGAGAGGAGACGGTAAGTATCTTTTCCATGGTCCTTAGGTTTTGGAGGAGTACTACCGTTGCTATTGTTTGGTTTAGGAGAAGGTGGTGCTGATGAAGGCTGAGAGGCCATTGCCGCGTCGATGTTAAGACGTGGAATATGAGAACGATGAGAGTTGGTATCCTTGGATTGGTAGATTGTAGACGCCATTCTTAGAGTCTAGATGAGATGAGATGGAATGGGTTCAAAAGAAAGACACAAATGTGAGATGTTAGAATTAGGATGTTCTAAGGGGAAAGCCATTTCCAGCCAGGATTTCTCCTGTCAAGGGGATTCCTAAGCTACAACTACCTACCTAACGTATACTTATTCTAGGAAGCGGCTTTGAAGGATGCATGTTATCCTTTGGAGAGTTCTTATTTAATTGGTAGTCAGGATTGAGGAGGAATGATGAGCTATAATCAGTTTCTCTCGTATGGTAGGTGCTGGAACTTAGGCCTTATGTTCAAGGCACTTCCTGGATAAATAGTATCTATAAATCTAATAAGGATAATTGTGAATGTTGGTAGAAGTAGCTGTGCAGATCTGATATTATAGAATACAGGAACAAGGTAGAGAAAAGCAGCGGGCTCTTCCTTGAAGATGATGGATTCAAGAAAGACATAATGTCATTTATGTAGAAATAAGTGAGGTTCTTTCTCTTAGATATTTACTTCTCATTGCTGCTTCCTTTTTAATGTTTAGTCGACACGTTCCGTTTAGTCATACTCATATACTCGAGGAAAGAGTGTTGAAGAGATATAGCAGGGGCAAGTAGCCTCGGCAGCTATCGCACATACATGAGCTAGGTATAGCTCTTTTGACCGCCCGGCAGAACAGCTAAGCTAAGACCCCTCCAGGGCCCCACCCTTCTTAGAAAAAAAAGGTAGTTAATTGGAGTTATTCGCGACTTATATGACCTTTGCGCAAACTTGATATTCTTGAATTTGTCCTCTAATACCACCTTCCTAGAAACCAATTGTATGCTCTTTTCGCTCTCAATTGCATCCTCTCGATTAGCATTTCGGCATGTAAATCGATTTCTCCCTAAACCATATCGTCTTCGAACTGTACGAACCATGGCCTTAGAAACCAAGAACGGTTCTCCGGCTGCGACAACCGATATTCAGATTATCACGAAAGACGGCCAAGAGTTTACGGAGGTCAAGGAGGGGCTAGCTCGTATCTTGGTCCCCTTTTCCGCGAAAGATATCGCAGATAAGAAGTCGAATGTCGAGGAACAGCAAAAGGTCTTCTACAATCCTATTCAGCAGTTCAATCGCGACTTGACGGTTCTCGCAATTAAAGCGTATGCCGAGGATGCATTTGCTAAGAGGCGGGCTGGAAATGCGGAAAAAGCAGCTAAGAGGAAACGTGAGAAGACAGACACTGCTGGTCGCAACTCGAAGAAGGAAAAAGTAACCGAGAATGTAGACGGCGTTACGTCTACACCTGACGATGTGACCAAGAACGAAGCTCGGCCGAACGACGCAGATATAATCCTTCCAGACGCGCCAAATGGTCAAGATATAGGATCACAAGAGAAAGATTCAGAAAACATACACGGAAATAGCGACAACGTACCTTCGGGTGATGTGTCTAATGCCGACCTACCGGCCGAAAACTCACAGCCAAATAAGGATCAAGAGACGAAATCCACAGAAGCAAGAAATACCCAACCTACACCTAAATTTACTATACTCGATGCTCTATCGGCTACAGGACTTCGAGCTCTACGATATGCTCAAGAGTTACCATTTGTTACATCAGTTACAGCAAATGATCTTAGTTCCTCGGCTGTTAAGGCTATCAAGCAAAATGCGGAGCATAACGGTGTCGAATCCAAAGTAAACGCGACATCGGGCGACGCCCGTGCACATATGTACTCCTTGCTTACTTACGAAGTCGCAGAAGAAAAGGGGAAAAATAAGAAGGGCGGTAATAAACCAAACAAACCAAACAACAAATACAACGTGATCGATTTGGATCCATATGGAACCGCTGCTACTTTTTTCGATGCGGCACTTAACGCCGTACGAGATGACGGGGGGTTGTTATGTGTTACATGCACAGATTCAAGCGTCTTTGCGTCACATGGATATCCCGAGAAAACGTTTGCTCTTTACGGCGGCATCCCAGCGAAAGGATGGCATTCTCACGAAGTAGGGCTGCGCCTCATACTACACGGCCTTGCTTCAACAGCAGCGAGGTATGGGCTGGCTATCGAGCCCCTACTGAGTCTATCGATTGATTATTACATCCGGATCTTCGTTAAGGTTAGGAAGTCACCGGCAGAGGTCAAGTTCCTTGCGGGGAAGACTATGATTGTGTATAGCTGCGACCAAGGGTGTGGAGCCTGGGAAACGCAATTCCTAGCACGCAACAGAAAGGCACCTAATGCGTCTGGGAAAGGCGTCTTCTATAAGCATGGACTCGCTATGGCGCCGACCACTGACCGGCTTTGTCAAGAATGTAGTTCAAAGATGCATCTCAGCGGCCCAATGTACGGTGGACCGTTGCATTCTCCAGACTTCATCAAGAAAATCTTGGATGACCTTCCTAGCGCCTCCGACGAGATATACGGCACGAAGCCGCGAATAGAAGGAATGTTACAGACAGCACTAGAAGAGTTCCTTACACCTCCAGAAGAAAGGATGGAGAGTCACAGGGAGGACGAATTCGCTGCGATCGAACACTATCCGTTCTACTTCCACCCAGCGAAGCTAGCAGGTACTCTGCATTGTATGTCTCCCGATGAAGATAGTTTTAGGGGCGCTTTACGGTCTTTAGGCTATGAAGTTACTCGTAGTCATTGCAAGGGCGGTAGTATAAAGACGAATGCGCCATGGTCAGTCATTTGGCATATCATGCGAGAATGGGTCCGCGAAAAAGCTCCCGTACGTGTTGATAGAATTAAGGAGAACACTCCAGCGTATACCTTACTCCGGTTAGGCAAGACAGACGAGACTCCGAAGGAAGATCCTGCAAAGGATGCAGAGCGCGAAGCGATCGATAACTTAAAGGTTGTCTTTGATCAGAAACTTGGAAGAGACATATCTAAGAAAGGCCTTGTTAGATATCAGACAAATCCCAGAGAGCACTGGGGTCCTCAGAGCAAGGCGAAGGGTCACTAATAGTGGACGGTAGTGATATAAATGGAGTGAGACGAAGATTTGAAGCTCAATACTACGACCGATTCCAGATCGGTCAATGATACCCCTTTATTTCCCTCTTGCTCGCTTATCTATTACATGTGAAGTAAAAGAAGAGTACCACAAAATAGGGGAGCATAAGCCCCACTATAAGTTACAAGTACCTACTCCGTCGGAGTCAATCAAAACGCCTTGCATGACCTAAAACGGGGATTGTGCAATGAGACTAATGCAGCACATCATGAAGGCTTCCGGATATCTGGTTTGCTTAATTAATCATTAGCATTCGCAAGTCCGCTATTTTCTTACTAAGCCGGATCTTGCCGTCTATACGCTTCTAAAGTAGATGGCTCTCGCTCATATCTTACTTAACTCCCCCACAACATATATCTACAAGATAGGTACAAGATATATCAACGCTACAGCTTCATACTATAATATTTTATTTATCTATAAGTAATATTCGTTTGCATACTACACGGAATATGTCTACTAAACCTAGTGGCATTTCTGCGGATACCAGTCAACCTGAAGTAGGCAATACTCTTGGCTCTATCAATGCCGAGGAGATTGTATTTATATCGAGGCAACCTGAAACGTCCAATTTATACGATATATTCACCTTAAAAGAAGAACCCGGAGACCAAGAGCCGACTTTCAGACTATTCCAGTCTTGTAATGCTGGTATACCGCAGCCGCTCCTAGATGAGTTTTTAATTGAGGGTCTTCCGGATTACTTGAAAAGTAGTCCGTCGCGGCGCATCCATGCTGTGGTGTCGACTGGCTCCGGGACGGGTCTTGCGCTGAAATTTTACAACGAAATTGTTGCGCGGCTTTTACCGGGGCGCGAGGTTTATCCTTCAGATCCGACGATGAACTCGATAGAAGTAATGAAGCCGAATCCGCACAATCTTGTTGTTACGCAGAGCGCTAATAGCGTACGTGAGTTTGCGCGAGAGATTAGTCGTGAGGGTGAAGATGGGGTGCAGCATACAGTGGTGCTGCTTAGTGGTGATGGGGGTGTCATCGAGATGCTTAATGGTCAAGTGTCGGTAGAGGGGCACAACTCGGAAGAGCATCTACCGTTAGTTTCGATACTCCCATTAGGTACAGGGAATGCGCTTTTCCACTCTCTTCACAAGTCAGCGGGCGCGGCATCAAGATTTCCAGCGCCGTCTAGTCTAGTCCAAGGCTTGCGCACTTTGTTCAACGGCCGAGCTGCCGCGCTACCTTCTTTCAAGGTTGAATTCTCTCCCGGCGCTCGCATCATAACCTATAAGAGCCCAGAATCCGGCTCCGATTCCGTAGAAGGAGTTGGAAGCCACGCGGACGCCGTGTCTCATCTCTACGGTGCCATCGTTGCTAGCTATGGCTTCCACAGTCAGTTGGTCTGGGAGAGCGACACGCCAGAGTACCGAAAGCACGGTGCTAAGCGCTTTGGCATGGTTGCACAGCAGTTGCTTAAGGAGAGCCACGCGTATAATGCAATCGTTGAAATCTCCGGAAAAGATGAATCCAACGTACGGAAGCTAGACCGGGACCGGCACGCATATATCCTAGCCACGATGGTATCCAATCTAGAGAAAACTTTCACCATATCTCCAGCCAGCAAGCCACTAGATGGGAAATTAAGGCTTGTTCATTTCGGTGCTGTTAGTGGAGAGAAGACCATGGAGATCATGACGCAAGCGTATAACGATGGAAAGCATATTGGTATGAAGTGGACTACGGAGGATGGTAAGGAAGAAGGAGTTGGGTATGATGAGCCTAGTGTGGTTAAGATTACTACTTTAGAAGAAGACGCTAGATGGCGCAAGGTCTGTATTGATGGTACTATTGTAGAATTACCTCAGGGTGGTTCTATGACTGTCAGGACTGAAGATAGACCTCACTTGCGGGTTGTGGTAGACAAGTCACTAGTCTGATAGATATGGAGTTCACATCTATCAACACAATTAATCTGTACAGGAGGTATACACGCCATACCCACTATCGTAACTAATACGGCTAGAATGGTAGCTTGAAGAGTATACATAGTCTTAACTGGGCAACAAGACTACAGCTATGCGGTACGTACTACGCCGGCTTGAGTCATTATCTCGAGTCCAGCCAATCACGGAGCGTTCATCAATGAAACAGAATGAATCATCGGCGCTACTGCAGCCAAGAACGTATTTCAACGCTATCTTATAGATCGTATCCACGATCGATATATCGAAGGCTAGACGGAACCCTTAGACCGGATTGATAAAAGTCATATTATGGAATGCGGCTTAAAGACGTATACTATAACATATATCAGTTCCATCCCTCTTTTCAAAAATGGGTTGTCCAATTCATATTATTTATTGACAACCAGGACATTTGATATACTGTCGCGAACATGACGTCTATGGAAGCTGAGAGCGTTGCGACTATTGTGTGCACCTCTAAACAAACTCGTTTTAACATTGGGACTCCTAACTATCGCGAGGTAGTTATACTACTTATTTTCTCCATATAGTAATGTTTCTAACAGATATTATAATAGTTAGATATCGAAGGGCTAAATATAATCGTCAAGTCAGGATCCAAGCCCGGCGTTAAAGGCAAGGCCAAGGCAAAGAGCGAGGGTACTGAGATCCTTAGTAATGCCAAGTTGAGACTCAAAGCCGGCCAGCGGTATGCTCTGATCGGAAGGAATGGTACTGGGAAATCAAGTAAGTCTAATGTAACTAAATGAAGTTATAATTAATCATAAGAGAGCTGTAGCTAATAAATCTATTATAGCCCTATTAAAGGCGGTGGCGGAAAAGCTCATCCCGGGGATACCAGAAGAGACGCGCATAACTATTCTCCAGCAGACTGACGTTGGAGATGCCAATGCTGACGAAGGCCCAATTTCTACTCCTAGTGAAGGCGAGGGTCCAGCAGTACTGGAAGATGTTATCGAGCGTGCCACTGCCAAGCAAGAGGTGCAAAAGGAAATCGATAGTCCGTATCCTATCCCAGATTTATAAGTCCTCAAACTAATCAGCCGTAGTTTTGTCAAGAGGTGTCGATGGTGGTGACCCCTTTGACGCTCTAAGGGCCGTTCGGAAAGTCCATCACGGACGCCTTCAAAAAGAGTTATTCCTTAAGGATAAAGACGCAAGGCTCCGCAGCGGTGCAAGAGGTATGCAGGCCAGAAAAGCTCTGATCACCATGGAGAAGAAAGTTACCGAATTCCAGTCACAGTATTACTATCTCTACACACAACTAGACGATATATCCCTAACAGATAACTCAGATATGAACAAAAAGACGAGGATATCCCACCTGAGACGCTCGCAAAGGAGACAAGCGAAGCTGCCGATATGCTTGCCGACCTCCAGCTCCAAGTAGAGCCATCAAAGCTGGCAGAAACAGAGTCAAAGGCGAAGAAGATCCTTACAGGTCTCGGCTTTACAGAATCCCGTATAGCGCAACGCGTTTCAAGCTTATCCGGCGGGTGGAAAATGCGAACGGCTTTAGCAGCGGCGTTACTACAAGACACAGACATCTTAATCCTTGACGAACCCACAAACTTCCTTGACCTCCTCGGAATCATCTGGCTGCAGCGTCATCTCATAGCATTAGCCGAGTCGTCCGATCCGCCCACCCTAATCCTCGTCTCTCACGACCGCGACTTCATCTCCCTGTGCACAGATCTCCTCATCATCAAGGACAAGGACCTAACGTATTTCCACGGCGACCTGCCGACATACGAGGCCTCGCGCGCCGAGAAGAAGGCGTATCTGACTAAGATGAAGGACGCGCAGGATAAGCAGAAGGAACACATCCAGCAGACGATCCAGCGCAACATGCGCGAGGGCAAGGCTAAGGACGACCAGAATAAGATCCGCCAGGCTAAATCTCGCCAGAAAAAGCTAGATGATAGGTGGGGAATGGAAGTCAATGCGAAGGGCGGCCGTTTCAAGCTCAACCGGGACTTGGTCGGATACCACCTAACCGCGCGTGCCGAGATCGACATCCCGCAGAACGAGCGTCCCGTCAGTTTCACGCTGCCGGACCCATCTGAGCTTCGATTCCCCGGAGCCCTGATATCGCTGGAAAAAGTCTCGTTCCGCTACACGCGGGACGCCAAAGCGCCCGTCGTGCTGAAAGACATCGACATATCCGTCAGCATGGGCGACCGCATCGGCATCCTCGGGCTCAACGGCAGCGGCAAGTCCACGCTCATCAAGCTCCTGGTCGAAGAGACGCGGCCGTCGTCCGGGACGGCGACTAAGCATCCTCGGTTGAAACTGGGATACTACGCGCAGCACGCGGTCGAGATGCTGCAGAAGATGGGACGGGAAGATCCGCAGATGACGGCTCTTGGGTTGTTGATGGGGGAAAATGATGATGGGCTGGATGAAGGCGAGATCAGAGGACTCCTGGGCTCCCTCGGCTTGCCCGGCCGTCTGGCCTCCGATGTCCCGGTGCGCAGGCTCTCCGGCGGGCAGCTGGTTCGGTTAGAGCTGGCGCGGATCTTGCGTCGGCGGCCGCATTGCCTGGTCCTGGATGAAGCGACGACGCATCTTGATTACGAGACTGTGGCGGCGTTGCGGGAGGCGCTGCGGGACTGGGAGGGCGCGGTTGTGTTGGTTAGTCACGATCGGTGGTTTGTAAGGGGTGTGGTGGAGGGGGTTGGGGGGGATGATGGGGAGGAGAGAGAGGAGGATGGTAGGGGTGCGGGTGCGGGTGCGGGAGGAGCTGCGGGGGGGTTGAGGAGGAGGCTGGTGTGTAGGTTGAGAGCGGGAGCGATGAGTGTGTTGGAGGGGGGAGTGAGTGAGTTTGAGGAGGGGGTTGAGAGGAGGGTTAGGAAGATGGAGAGTTCGTAGGGTGGTGAGCGTTGGGGGATATGAATGAGTGACTGTTTGCTTTTTGGTAAATAGGTCTTGAAGAAAAGGGGCTATGATGAGAGGTATCTAATGATTTAATAAGTATCTGTTATACTATCCCAAGTAGCCTGATCCGAAATTCACCTTTTTTTCTCATAGAACTTGTTCGTTAACTGTTCCTAAAAGCTTTGTGGATAAGCCTAATAAATTAAAACTTCGCCTCTCCCCTTTTGGTCCTTGTCACCACTGATAGTTACACAAATACCTTATGTACCTAACATATTGCAAACAGGTACCTAGTCTCGATATTTAATTTCATCAGTGATAGTGGGAAAGAAGAAATATTCTTTTGTATGTCTAGATCCGAAGTATAAATTATTCTACTGTATCTACTAGATGTTCCTAGGCAGTCTTATGCTGATCACTTTAACGTAAGATTAAATCGATATCATCATAACACATGATATAGTACCTAACTATAGTTTCTTTGAGACCTACACGGGATATTCATGACGTAGAGCAAGGGGTGTAGAGGTATAGAGTATCTTATTATCAGGCTCATTTTCGTAAATACCCCAATAAATCCTCATATAGCAAACGGAAACTACGTAAGTGTCAGGACAAGAACAGAAAGGTATTCGACGCCATGTGGTGAGTTATTTGCTACTACTGCAGTCTCGTAGGATAAACTAGTAGCCAGTTGTGAGATGTCTCTCCGAAGCTGCATGTCTTAGAATCCTAGTGGCATTTAAGACCATCGCTGACAGCTCGTGGCGCTGGAAGCGTGTGATATAACGGCACCATGTACATGCTAAATTGTTAATGCTTTAAAATATAAATTATAACAAATTATAATGTTTTTTTTATATATATTAAAGAATATCTTTAATATTAACTCGGTTGAAAAGCTACCCTTTCGAGGATCTCGAGCGTCTTAAATACATAGTATTAACTAACCTAAAAATAGGATAAAGTAATAAATTGTTAGGAGAAAACAGAGTTATCCCATATGGTAGCCATTAGATAGCAAGCCTATATAAGAAGGGAATTCCTCCCACTTATTCACCGTAATTCCTATTACTATCTCGTAAACTCCACCCTAAGCTTCTCCTTGCAGAGTTAGATAGTTCTAGCTTAACATAGTAAAGCAATTTTCAACCTTCACCGATGGCAGGTTCATCTAAGCCAGACGAGCAGCATGGAGAGAGGCGCTCTGTTCGGATTCCAGATTTATTTTCTTCTATAATGGCCTCGAAGCTGGTAGTTAACCCAAACTACTCCGAGGTCAAAGCCGAAGGCGATGAATTCATCGCAAGGTAACTGCTTCTATATAAATAGGCGTATATGGTAGAATGGACAACGTTGTAACTGACGTTATTTAAGGATTATGAACATGGACAAGAAAACAAACGCCAAGAACAGAAAAGTAGACTTTGGCTATATCGGTGCCATATGGGTGCCAGATGCCGACAAAGACTCGTTGAAGGTGTTGTTTAATTGGTGCTATTGGGTTGGTTCCCCGTTGTCCCTCCAACACCCTACATCTAAAGCATGTTTTTTTTTAAAGAGCAGAGTGTACTGATGAATGAGATATAGCTGTTCTTCTTTGATGACCGTAAGCAAAATAATTGGTCTTGCATTATGGCTTGTTGATAATCCCATTACTAGAGTTCGATGAAGGTCACCTGAAGGATGATCCCGTTGCAGCACAGGAAGAGGTCGATGAGACCATGGCCATCATGCAGGAAGACGTGCCACTAATAGATCCGCACGAAAACCCAATCAGACACCTCTTTCAGCTTTGCTGGTTATGGGTGAAGCAAAGAGCACCTCTGGGTACGTATCGGGCAGATGGATTTGATCTAGGCTTGCGACTAATCAAAAAGCAGAATTGCAGCAACAGTACAGGAAACAGCACAAAATATACTTCGACCAGATAGTAGTTCAAAGCCAACAAGTGGCCAAGGGAGAGGTCCTAGGCCGCGATGTACAGGCGTATCTTGAGGTCCGTTTGGCGACTATTGCAGTCTACCCTGCTATTACTCTCGTACAATGTGTCCAGGGCGTCGACTTGCCAGAAAGGGTTGCCTCCCATAATTCTCTGCAAGAATGTATTCAAATATCGGCTGAGCTTACATTGATGTAAGCGCAGAATAACCTCGGGGATGAATTATACGGCTAACGAAAAGATTAAGGACTAACGATATTTTGTCATATCGTAAGGATGTAGTACGTGTCCCTACTAGATCGAGAAGCCGACTTGAACAAGCTAATTGTTCTTTTAGGAGCTAGGTGTGGACCATAATTTGATCCCGCTTCTCGTAGAGCAGGGCATGTCTGTCCAACAGGCTATCGACAAAATCGGCGCCATGGTTGACAACTGTTATAAGCGTTGGTACACTGCACTTGCCGAGTTGCCTTCCTATGGGGAAAAGGTAGATAGACAGGTGCTCCTTTTCGTTGAGATTTGCCGCAATATTCCTCTTGGTAATTTGCACTGGAGGTAAGTTTGCTGCTACAAACCGGAAACATGATAATAGAATGGCGAAAATTTTACTAAACTACTTCCCACTAACTAGCTTTAAGACGAGTCGATATCTTGGTTCAGAGGAGGCGGGTCAGAATGTACGCGAGACGCGAATACTGCATCTTCCCTAGTGGAAGAGACTTTTCGCTTGGGCAAGGAGTCGTTCACCTCCCTTACTTTATGAATACTTAACGTGCCAGGTTTGAATAAACCGAGAGTGTTTATTGAAGGATGTTCAGCAAGACATCTGAACTAGTATATATCGTGTTGGCGTTAAAATTTAGAAATTGCAACAATCTCTTATTAATGATAACTGCAGGGCTATCAACTAGCCCTCTCTTTATACACTCTTTTGGCAGCCAGTGGGAATTTACTCTTCTACTTAATGAACCGATTAACTACTATTACTACACTTACAATATAGAGATACTGAAGTACAGGTAATACTGATACAGTAACTGTGCTGTGGTGATTTTACTAATCTATGGGTTTATATTTGACTGTATTCAAGAAGGATTCATTCTAAGAGTACATTATCAAATTCTAAACTAGATCATCAATCACTATGATAAGCAGTAAGATTACCTACCCAAGGTACCAAGGTATATTGAGAGAAGTGAAGATCATGGTCTTATCAATTCAGTTTAAGCCTATGCAGACGAGGAGCAAAGCAGGGAAGTCTTGAATAGGTACAAAATGACATTTTAGGCGTTATCTATCCCTAAGTCCGACAGCCAGTGATAATTGCGTTTATTTTCTTTATGAAACCCAATCCGAATTGAAGATTGGCAGCCAAACGCCTAGTTAGATTTTAAAGGCATCTAGTGACGGCACACATGCATATATATCATAAACCAACCAACCACATTATCATGCTAGTTTCTTGTGATTCTTTGGTGGCTGCTTGGCCCCAATTATCGGCAAGATATCAATAGGGTGGTGGTTGTTGAAGACCTAAGAGAAGAGTATGACATACGCGTACATATACTCAGAGGGAGAGAATATCGACGGCAGACTACATCCAACCTCGATCACCTTTCGAAGCTGGGTAGAATATATTATCTGTCGCTCGATCTTGTCACTTGGGTTTAAAAGACTGTAGTCATTTCCAATCAAGGCGTTTGGAGTCGTAGTCGACAAAAAAGGGGGTAAAAAGGAGTGGTCAATCAGGGGGCAGTTTAACGTCAATATTTGGCAGAGCTGGACGCAAAACGGTCCAAGATCGATTATTTTAACCTACCGTTTTACCATGTACGGTATCATGTCATCTAACAATGAGGAAGTGTCTCCTTCTACCGAGTTCCTGGCTGAATCTAGAAGATATGGAAGGGGCTCAGCTTGCAAAGCATGTCGCATTGGTAGAACGAAGTATAGTGACACGTTAGACGGCAGAGAATGCAATCGATGTGCGCGCCTCGGGAAGCCTTGTATGTATACGAATAACCCGACTCAACGCCATAACTACGGCAACGCTCCTCTTGACAAAAATAGCAAGGGTACAGCCTCGACCGACGCCAATTCTCCTGAGCATGCAAACTCGGATATTTGCTTGCCGAGTGCATTTGGTTCTTCCCCACTAGACCGGTCAAGCGGTGATGGAACACAATTGGTTACGGATGACCCTCTCAGGCTTGGCTTCGAGGAGTGGCCGCAGTTACAGAGTGCTCCCTTGATAATCGAAATGTTCCCGCCACATATAGACTTGGCGGCTACTTTCGCGCATAGAGTTGCTAGATTCCATAGTACTATCCCCTTCGCACCCTAAGGAGCCATAGGGGAATAGTGAGGCCTATGAAGGCTCTTTTCGCTTTTAAGGCCAAACAAATAGAAGAACAGGTAGTGATGGTTTCCAGAGCCGCGAACTTGCCGCCTCAAACCCATTCCTGGACTTCCAAGGTGGGATATTGGATACCCAGGAATCTACTTGCCGATATAAATGCCTACAGACAATTACATCGTCCTTATCCTTCCTCAAAAGTTGGACTTGGAGCGGAGTGTCGGGAAACTCCGAGACACGGGTCAACAGCATTATGCTCAACTGCGCCAAGATCGAGGGTGTACTTGACCTCTTCGAGAAATCAATGGCGCAGTTGCAGATCGCCGAGAGTTGTCCACGAGCTTGTAATCTGTCGCATGACTTAGCTATTCTCCTCCTACTAATCGTCGAGAAGCTAGCGAAATTGTTGCTGGATTTAGCAGCGGAATCAATAGGAGGGTTCGGTGACTATAATCTCAATAGCTTCCAGCAAAGACACGATATTCGGCCTGCTAGAATTGGAAAATTCGAAATCACGGATCCGCTGGACCTGCAGATGATTATGAAGCTGCTGTTGCAAATTAGGGCGCAGGCTCTCGACGCCTACATATGTAGGTGGATTGATAAGATCAAGCATTGCAGTTTCGAGAACCTCGAGGTCGACCTTGGGAAAATCAGGGAAGACTTGAGCAGGGCGGTTTTCCTAGATAATATACTTCAAACTCTGCTATCCATATACCCCATCGACCCATCCATCAGATAGAATAGATGTACACATGAGAGGATGAAGGGAATAGGAATAACAGGGCATTGGAATAATGACTGTATATCAGTCTTCGATAAGCATTCTCACTCTTTCGATATAGGACATATAATAGAGGGGGCTTCCATTAATAAATGTTACCAATAGATCCGGGTTCTTGACGAATCTGTTTGTTTGGTGGTCGATTAACTAGAATGAAAATGAGACTCCACGGCCTGGATACTGTAATAGGTGCATGAGATCTTCTCGGCTTATACTTGAAATCGGAGCGGCAACCAAGTTAAGTACCTCACCTCTTTATGGCTAAAGCGCAGTTGTTCATCCTGAATGCTTCTACGTCAACTACTGTCTTTTCTCTTACCAGCCCGTCTCGTCTTCGATTCGTTGCGTCCGTACGCGTATAAAAACAATAACGTATGTCGGTTCGCCCTTGCATATGAATTATTCCCCGCCGAGAATTCCGTCATCTGTCGTCGCTGTCGTCGTGTAAGCAGTACTTCCCGCACCAGTGTAACCGTCGAATATTATAGACGCTCCTAATTTTTAAAGCTATCCGTCGTGGGTTAAATATCCCATCCCATAGTCCTCCTTCCCTTCTCTTGCTACCTGATAAATAACCTGTCTTCCAATCGTTGCTCGTTACGTAGATAGGTGCTGCAGCGCATATGCATATCATCGGGGTAAGTTTCGTCACCTTGAGCCGCCACCCTCGAGCTAGGCCGCCGTATCGTTTTATAAGTAATCGGTCTTCGTCCGTCATCGATAATTCAAACTCAGGTGTCGTCCCCATCGTGTACGAAAAAACCTAGGAAAAAATAGTTTCCCCCTTTTCTCCTTCTTTTCATTAAGTACTCTGCGTTAAAAATCCGTCGTCCGGGATCATCGTCTCGGATACTATAACAATCCGAGTTTGAAGAAAAGCCGCTTCTCTGCTCGATAATAGACGGCTTGGTAGATATCCTGGATGTCGAGTGCTTCGTTCCTCCTAATAAGTAATTGAGGCGGGTTTCTAATGATGATGTTGCTGGAAGATGGGCTCGGTAGCCTCTTGATAGTCGATATTTGCTGGCTTGTTGATCGTACTTTATAGTCTTGTCTCGTCCCGTCCCGTCTATTCATTCATTCCCCCAATGATATCGGCAGTGTCGACAAATTTAATTTTCCGCCGTGCCATAGAAAGCTTCTCGCTTTAATAATCCGCAGAATTTCTCCTTCTCGCCTCGCGATAGTTCGTAATTTTGAAACATCCCATATCGATGGCGTGGTTGTCGAACGGCAGAAGAGTCTGCTGTGCCCTAATCGAATCGGATTTCGTCCCGTAATTCCCCTCTCCTGGATAATTTTTCTCTAATCATTGTGTGAGGCGGTATTGGAAGGTGTTGGCACAAAGTAGCCAAGTTTATTCTCGCTTGCACTATCGATGAAGTAACCGTAGCCTCAGTTAACAGGGTTAAAAGTGGAAATTGGCGAGTGATCTCTCATCAACGTCGTCTATCAACTTTAGAGGTACCGTAAGTATGATGGTTAAGGATGGTGTATGATAAAAGTTAGACTCTGCTACAACGGGTTACTTGGAGACTTTTAGGGTGCCTTATTGTGTAACATTAGAATCCTGTGAGTTAGCATATTAAATAAATTCATTGTCGTGTTGGTTCGGTATCCAGACAACTGGGTATGATGTAGCCTGTAGTATTATGTGATGACTACCAATGTCAGGTCTCTCGAACTTCTTCTCGGACTACCGGTATAGGTTATGATATCTAGTGCTCGCATCGACCCAGTATTTTCTGAAACCCTTGCAGTGCTTTTGTCATAGAGATGGACAACTAACTGTCCTCGAGAATAAGTATAAGTATCATTAGAGTTCTTTACTCGGATTGTAGCAGTTTTTCGTCTTATTGTTTTAGCTTTTGCTGTCGAGTATAGTGATAGATATGACATTCGTATGAGATGTCATTGTCGGTTAAGTATTAGCATCTCAAGATTTAGATCGTTGAATTAGCCAGGTAATAGTAGACTAATGATTAGATCAGAAAGTTCCTTCTCTTATTAATAGCTTCGTTCTCATACGTATGTGGCTTGATAAGAGGCTGTGTTATATTACCGGACAACGATATATAACGTGATTGGCGGTGAATTTTATGTTTCCGAGATGTTTATCCTCGATATCGACGCGTGTTTACGAATTTTAAGTCTCAAAGGTATAGCTCTAGGAATCGTAGTCGTCGCCTCTTTACTTTGGATATATTCGTTTCTCGATGACCTGTCATAAAAGTCGTGGCCCTCCCGAAAATTTTTCCAGCCCCTGATATTTTGGATGGACAATGTCCACCGCCTTTTGGCTTGCTTATGGTTACGATATACTTGAAAGGATATTCCGTTACCGATCCCAGCCTCGTGGGATTAACCGTTTCGATATTTTGTGAGAAACAATCTGGAACTGATGAAAAAATGTGAGAGATACTTTTTCGTAGCTACTTGATTGTATGCACTGCTCTCATCTGTCTTCTTCTTGCATCAAAAAAGGGGTAATGAAGATCCACTGAATAATCGAATCAAGTAAGATAGGTGTCCATTATGTCTGTGTGGTGCAGATAGCCGTCTCCAAAGTC